CAGCCCAAAGGCATTGTGCTGGTTTTCATCCCCAGCCTTTGATTTTGACACAGACTATGCCCTGCTTGCCCCCAGCCCCCGCCACTGCTCTCACCTGTGGAGCCATCCTGGCCAGCCCTGGTCCTGGGCACTGTTTCTGGAAGCATCCTCCTCCCCAGGTGGGTCTCCTGATGGTGCCCATGGGTCTGCAGAAGCCCTGGAGGCTGCGGCGCTCACACTCCTCACCGTGGGCAGGGATGCTCTCCACAGCCTGCATCCTGCTCCTCCTGCTGCTCCCCCAGCTCCAGCCCTGCCCCGGCAGCCCTGCCAGCACCCACAGAGCGTGCATGGCTCAGCACAGCCTGGGAAGGGCTGCTGAGCTCTGGGAATGGTCTGTGGAAGCCCCTCTCAGGCACCAGGAGCGAGCCGGGCTGGCCGATGCTGGGAGCAGCTCCCTGGGGTGGGATCCTTCCCTGTGCTTTTCCACCCGTGCTGCCACAGGGCTGGCACACCAGCACTGAAAAATCCTTCTTTTCATCAGGGGCTTCGCTGACTCTGTGCCACCCTCAGGGCTCCCTGAGTGCAGCCCCCTGCAGTTCTCCTTTCCCTGACTAAGGACGCTTCGCTGACTCTGTGCCACCCTCAGGGCTCCCTGAGTGCAGCCCCTTTCCCTGACTAAGGATCAGCAAATGCTGATGTAAAGATGGTCCCTAACGGTGCCTGGTCCCAGAAGGGTCCCAGTGCTGGAGCAGAGACAGGGTGGTGGCACTCCCCTCACTCCACCTCCCCAGCGAGCTGAGGCAGAGGATGGCTCCTGCACCCAGCCTTGCCTTCCCCGCTGGATTCCTCAGCCCATCTCTTGTGGCTCTGTCCCATCCGTGGCCAGAGAGCACCGTGCCCTCTGCTCCCATCTGCCAGTGCATTAAGAAAATGAGAGCTGATTAAAGTCCATCCCCTCCCGAGCACCATTGGTCCCAGCAAACTGCTGACACCACCGGTCTGGGGGCAGACAGGTGGATTTCCCTGTGCCCACAGACGTCCAGTTTTAGTTGGGTTTGGGGTTGCTTGGGTCTGAGCATTTCCTATGGTCACAAGAAGTGCTTTAACTGCTGAAAATGAATACATTAATTTTATTTTCTTTTTTCTATTGCCTGTGAAGAGGTTGGTTCAGGCAGTGCCTCTCCTTGCAGCCCTGCTCCTCCATTGCACAAGGATGCCAAGATGGGATGGGAAGGAGCTTCTGTGTACCCACAGCACCCCATTAACCCACAGCAACTGGAAGGCCCCTGTAGCAGCAAAAAGTCTCCTGTTTCTCAAGGCAGGCCAGCTGGAAAGCCCCATTTCCCTCCCATTAATCTCCACCTGCCAGCACTTTCTAGAAGGCAGTTAAGAACATTGAAACTGGGGAGATTTGCAAAATAAACAGCGATCAAACGCAGAGCCCTGGGTTCCTGCTCCGAGGGTGTCTGCCAAGACACACAGATCGTATCAGGCTAATTTACAAAAGGAAAACCGCCCTAATTAGTGTTCAGGAAAGCACTTTAATGAGAAGAGCATTAGTGCAAAAAGCAAGAGTGCCAAGAGGTCAAGCTGTTCCTAATGCCAGAAAAACAGGAAATAGGGCACAGGAGATCTCTGCCCACCCAGGCCGCAGCGCTGCTTTCTCATTTTTTTGGTAATATCTCGGGCTGTTAGTGAGGAATTTAGAAAACCCGGAGTGTAAAGCCCAGTGGCAGGGCAGAGCCTCCATGGGCAGCAAGCTCTGATCACCGTGATGCCAGGTGTGGAGACCAGCAGCCTCCTCCCCTCCTTTTTGGGGCAGAGTGCAGGTTTATGGGGTTTTCTTTGTGAAGGGAAGAGCAGAAGCCCTGTCAGCGGCACCTCCCTTCATCTGCAGAGTGCAGATTTATGGGATTTCCCCATAAAAGGGAAGAGCAGAAGCCCTGTCAGTGGCACCTCCCTTCATTTTTGGGGCAGAGTGCAGATTTATGGGATTTCCCCATAAAAGGGAAGAGCAGAACCCTGTCAGTGCCACCTCCCCTCCTTTTTGGGGCAGACTGCAGTTTTATGGGATTTCCCCATAAAAAGGAAGAGCAGAACCCCATAAAAAGGATGAGCACCTCCCCTCCTTTTTGGGGCAGAGTGCAGATTTATGGGATTTCCCCATAAAAGGAAGAGCAGAACCCCATCAGGGCCACCTCCCCTCCTTTTTGGGGCAGAGTGCAGATTTATGGGGTTTCCCCATAAAAGGGAAGAGCAGAAGCCCTGTCAGTTGCACCTCCCTTCATTTTTGGGGCAGAGTGGAGGTTTTATGGGGTTTCCCCATAAAAAGGAAGAGCAGAAGCCCCGTCAGTGGCACAGGCTCCTCTCGCCTGCCGGCGGCTCTGCCTGTGGCCAGTAACCATGGCAGCGGAGGGATCTGCACGTGATATTGGCATTTCTGCAGCACAAAAAGCCTCTTATCTGGAGTGAGTAGCTGGTCTGGCTGGTCCTCATTCCTCTGGTTCTCGCTAGGGCAGAGCATCGTGGGGCAGCTCGTGTGATGCTCACCACAGGGCAAATTCGGACCATCCACGTGATGCTCACGCTGGGACACATCCAGAGGATCCACGGGGCTCCAGGATGCTCTGGGTGCTCCCCCAGCCCCCGGCAGCAACCCCACTGCGGGAGGCAGAGCCAGCCCTCCCCACCTCTGCTGGGAAACAGAGCTGGAAGGGAGCAGTGATCCTCCTGCTGAGCTCAAAATGAGCATCTGCAAACCGTGTGAGGCAATTTGGGCCACGCTGGGCTGGCTGTCCCCAGGATGTCACAGCCCAGAGCTGGCAGGGGTGCTCCCTGGCATCCCCACAACCTCATTTATCTCACTTCCCCAGTTGTTTACATTTCTTCTCAAATTTCTTCGAGTTTATCCAAGAAAACATTTTGAGTCTTTAACTGTTTGACTTCCAGCTCTTCTCATGCCTCAAGGGACTTGTAAAAGCAGAGAAAACTGCAGGAAAAACAAAGGTTTCTAGGCTTCAATTCTTCAGAAGATCAAACCCAGCTCACTGATACTGCACAGATCCCCCTCAGACATTCACCCTAGGGCATGAACCAAAGTGGGTAAGTTTCATCCCAGAACCAGAACAGGTAAATGAGGAAAGAATGAGAAAGGAAAAGGTCACTGAGCCTGAGCTCAGCCTGAGCTGCTGCTAACAAGAGCTGTCATGGGCATCCCTTGGTTGTGAACTTCTGTGGCCCCTTTCCAAAAGGGGGTCTGGTGTTTTTCCAGGGTGTTAACGCCAGTGGGACCATTACTGCACTGAAAAGGAGCTGTGTACTCAGAGCAGAGAACACCAGACCTGTATTCGCTCCATTTTAGGGGAAGGTAAAAGGGATTCAGACAGATTTATAGGCAAGTGTCACTCAAAGCAGAGCTACACAAAGGAAAAATATATATATATAGACAGAAAAAGTGGGTTACAGACTGTTCCCAGAACCAGGAGTGTGTCCTGCTGGCTAAGGTCTGCAGGTTTCAAGGTTGAAGTGCTTAATTTTGTTTCAAGCTTTCTAATTAAACACCATTTAACTGGGCTTTCCATTTATCCTGCAATTTCTTTCTGGACCTGAGTCTAATCCCCAAACCTGCTTATTTGCTTTTACTTTCGTTACAACCTTATCAGTGATTAACCTGCAATTGCACTTAATCTTTTTAAAAGATTTCTCTGGCTATAAATACAGAGGAGCTACCTGCCCTGTTTCTGTCCAGGGGAAAACAACTTCCTCCACTCTCAGATGTTTGTGGTGGGTTGTACTATTCCTTCTGTCAGCTGATTTTTCTAATGGGAGACATTTGTCTTCTCTAACTTCCTACAGAACATTGAATCAGCATCAGTTCTGTGAAAGACACAGGCCACAAGGAATATGAATACACCCCCAGTATAAAGAAAATAACTACATATATAAAAATATAAACAGTATATATAAAGCCTCCAGTAAAGATGCCACTGGTGACGGTGAGGCAAAACCTTCCACATTCCTACAGCTCCAAAGACAAGCTCTGCTTCTTCCCCCAGCACTTCTCTATTCCACTTATTTCACTAAAAAGCAGCAGCAGCTAAAATATCACTGCAAGAAACCTGGTTTCTATGGCAATAAGCAGCTGCCTGTCAAGATTCCCCAAGTACTGCATTAATACAAGAGAGGATCTCATATCAGATCGACCCAGGACTTAAGGACACCAAGAGGAGTGAGAAAAGCTAATGAGAAATGCAGCAAAGGTACATGGAGTGTTCCCAAATCCATCAGGAATGTTCCAAGGGCAGTGGAGGGAACACCAAGTGATGAGTGCCCTCTGCAAGGTATTTATTGGAAGCAGTGCAAAGGGAGCCCGTTGCAAATACAGCAAAACTGGTAAATGAATGGAATTTGAAAGTTCAACAGAAGAAATCCAAGCCATGGCAACCCCCATTTTGGGAAACAAGAGGCACTCAAGTCTCTGTCATCTCTAAAGAGTCCTGCAGAGCAAACAGACCTGAGCTCAACTCCCCAGCCCAGCCTGCAAGTCTAGCCCTACCTTGACCTTAATTATTACCTGGAGAATAATCTCTCCAAAGAACTAAAGCCATAAACAGATCACAGAGAAGGATAATTTCCAGAATTACCAGTTGTGTATCCATCATCACCTCATGCTGCCTGTTGAAAACTAAGATCTTCAAGCAATCTTTGCTATTCAGGAAAGGTTTTTTTCCCCCTCCTTGCCTTGGTGATTAAAGGCAAATTACAATTCTACTCATGCTGCCTGTTGAAAACTAAGATCTTCAAGCAATCTTTGCTATTCAAGAAAGGTTTTTCTTTTCCCTCCTATTGGTGATTAAAGGCAAATTACAATTCTGCTACCAGTATTATGTGACCTCTGAGCCTCTGAATTATTTATTGAGAAATCTGAACTGCATGTGAGGATTATCTGGCTCTGTCAATGCATGACTGAGCAAGAAGTTGAAAAACAGCTGGAATGTTGAAATAAATCCACACCAAATAAATGGTAATCTACATGGTGTTTATTGTAGATACAGCGAATTATGAGAGCAATTACAGCCCACTATTTATTTAAATGCTTCTTCTAAAGAATATTAAATCATAGAAGTAAATCAGAGCTCCAGTTTGATTTTTGCACATTTCCTGGTTTGATTATATAAATATTTAAAGAGTGCAAAAAAACCCCAGCTTTGCACTCCCTACCAAAATCTTCTACCTGGCAGGAAACCACTTGCAAATGACTGAGGATGAGAGGCATTTGGGGAGGTTTGGGTGAGTGCAGGCTCTCCCCTGCAATGTGGTGGCTTCAGACCCTCCTGCAGTACAGTGGAGCTCATTACATTTGTTTAAAAAGAAAACAAGACATTATTAACTAAAAATAACATCTATTCTGGCTTTATTTTTTCTTTTGCCACAGAAACCCATACATTTTGCAAAAGATGGGGAAAAAAAAAGCAACAAAAGAAGATCCCAAAGGAGGTGAAGGTCAGCCCTGGGCCGCTGATGGGAAGAGGGATCACCCAGGGGGTGACACCAGCACTGCCACCCTTCTGTGTGTCACAGCCAGACCTGTGGAACCTGCAGCTCTGCTCACTGCATTTGCTGAACACCTGGGGAGTCCCTTGGCCACGGTGACAGGGCTGCTCCCTGCAGCAAAACCTGCCCCAGCTTCTCCTCCAGAGGATGGAAAGCGGCTCCTCTCCATGCAGCCAGTGGTGCTGTGGGAACTCGACAGCCAAAAACCTGGGGAGGATCTGCAAACCTCATCCAGCACCACCTCATCTCTGCTTCTCACCTCCTCTCAGCTCACCTGCAGCTCTCTCTGCTGGGTGCTGGCTTTGAGGAGGATGAGGAAGGAGCTGGTGGTGCTGGAAGAAGATGGGACACCTTGAGCCATCAGCTGGGTGCTGGCTGCTGAGCAGATGTTTGCCTTCCCCTCCAGCACCCGGTCCCAGCACAGCTGGGAGAGTGACTTCATGGCTTCAGTGACCAGCAGTACCAGTGGCTTCTCTCTCCGTGGGAAATGTGGCCAAGAGCCAGTCTGAGGTGGCTGAAGGGCTGGGAATTGCCTGCTGGAAATGGGGATGCCACTGAGGCCCAGCAACGAGTGCAGGGGAGCACCTGCCTGCTTGTGGACACTTGTTGGCACATTACAGGCTCTGAAACACTGCCTGGCAGAGGAGAGCCCTTACTGCACTTCTCTTTCCCCTCCCAGCTGGGAGCCAGCTCAGCTTCTCCCTTCCTGCTCTCTCTTTATCCCTCCCAGCAGTGGCAGCACAGAAAAATCCCAAGGCTGGAAAAGAACTCCAGGAACATCTCATCCAGGATTGTGCTTCCCTATCCTTGAAAGATGCCCATCAAATCTTCCCATAAGAGCCCCCAGGAATGGGGAGTCCACCACCTTCCCAGGGTGGACAGCTGGCAAGAATTCTTCCCAGTGCAAAGCCAAGGTGGTCTTGGCACCACGATGGGACCCTCAAGCATCTTGCAGCCCGTGCACTTGGGGACAGAGCTTGGCATTCTCACCACAGCTTGATTTGTGAGCAAATCAAGCTTGGCCTGTGAGCATAGTCCACATCCTTTTCAGATGAATCACTCCCCACTGCTGCTGTCAACCTTGAGCCCAACAGAGAAACCTTGTTGTTTTTTTTCCTTCCTTGTTTCTAGCCAAGTGGTGACTCAGCTGTCAGAGGTGAATAACTCTTCATGCTTTGTCTGAACACTCATTAACCATCCAGAGCCATAAAAAGCAATTTTTCCATAGCTCTCCCTCCACAAGGCCAGATTTCAAAGCAAGAGGGCTGACCTGAGATTTAGTGGGAAATTCATAAAGGTGCTCAATGGATCTCCAGAGTGGAGGAACCTTTTATGGTTCTGGGTCAAATGGCAGAGGGTTTTATCAGCAGTGATTGAGGGTCTGGGCAGAAGAGAGAGGCAGATCCTACCCTCAGCACATAGCAAACCTACAGCCGCTGCATGGAAATCATTAACAACAAAAATCTGCTAGCCCAGGCGTTTGCCTGACTCCTACGCCTGCCCTGGGACCTGCTGCTGTTCATTGCTCTTCTTTTTTTTCATCTTTCTCTGAAATCTCAGCAGCAAGGATTTCCTCATCTTCTTTTGCTGTGGAAGTCACACGAATGGTGACTGAATGATCAGGAGATTCTGAGGATATTTCTCCTCCCAGGCGGGTTTGCGCTCTGTGGGACGCGACAGGCGATCTCTGGTGCACTGGTGATTTTGGTGGGGTTGGGCTGACACTGGAACCCTGCAATAAAAAGTTAAAAAAGAGGCAAAAGCAACCTTAGCAGATCCTTGCCCATGATCCCTGACATGGCAGAGCTGGACAGGAGTTCTGTGGTTCCACCACAGGATCTCTGCAGTGGGATGTCAGCTTGAGGCCAGAGAAGCTCCCTGCAGGAGGGGCTGCTGGATTACATCCTGCATGTCTTGAGAAGCACAGAGAGGAGCACAGCAGAGCTCTCTCAACTCTTGGTTTGCTCCTGAAGCTTCTGGAGGGGCCAAACCTGGCACTGGTACTGCTGTGAGGGAGCAGTCCCAGCCTGCTCTGTCCTCCTTTGGAGAGGGGCCTTAGAAGCCTGTCCCAGGGATGTGCCAGGGTGAGGGATGTCAGCAGGGTCCTGCTCATCCACCAGTGGGGTTAGTTCTCATTAGTTCCCTTTAGTTCCCAGTTAGTTCCCATTAGTTTCCTTGTTTTCCCTCATTCAGAGCCCTCAGTGCCACTGCTCACTGCTGCTGTTAGCTGGTCATGGATTAATGTTAAACACAACATTGTTTGGAGCCTCTCATGCCTCTGCAGGACTGCAGAAAGGCAGCAATGCTTGGCATCAGCCTGGTGTTTACCCAGCCTCAAGGCCACTGCACTCCCCACCAGCTCCTCCTTCCCCTCCCTCTGCACATCCAGATGTGATAAGTGTGCCTGGTTCCACGCTGAGAATAGCAGCAACAGGGTCTGCATGGAGACACAACTTTCCTTACAAGTGTAGCTGAGACAGCTGGAACAAAAAAAGGGGAAAAAAAGGACAGGGCCATTTTCCTTTCAGCTGCTCATGGCAAAAAGCAAGGGGGTCCTGCAGAGGTGGCAGGATGGCACTGCCTGCTGTGGGGACCTCTGTCCTGGCCACCTGGGGAAAGATTGGGAACATCAACTGGGCTGTGGGTGTCCCTGCCAGTACCTTGATTAACTGATTAATACATTGACTAATTATTAATCATAATTATTAATTATTATTAATTATCCTGTCTCTGCAGGATAGAGGAGATATTCATTCATCTGTGGCTACAGCCTAGCCAGAAATTGGACTCAGGCTGAGCACAGGCAGGCAAAAATTTAATGTATTTCCCTTTTGTACAGCAAAACAAATCCCTGTGGGACACTGGCACTCCCCAGACCTGTGCAAGATGCTGGGTCACCCCAAATTCCTGTGGGACACTGGCACTCCCCAGACCTGTGCAAGATGTTGGGTCACCCCAAATCCCTGTGGGACACTGGCACTCCCCAGACCTGTGCAAGATGTTGGGTCACCCCAAATCCCTGTGGGACACTGGCACTCCCCAGACCTGTGCAAGATGCTGGGTCACCCCTTCCCATCTGCCCACGGTTTGACAGACCCCAACACTCTGAGCTCGGTCCTTTAAGGCACCCTAACCCCTGCAGAGCTGCTGGGGAGGGCACTTTCGGCACCTAAGCAGCCAAGCCGGATCTCTGCGCTGCCCATGCTGACCTGCGCCTCCTGCATCGCCTGCAGCTCCTTCAGCCTCCAGCGGAGCCGCCCCAGGGGCCCCTTGCCCCCCATCCTCCCCGAGGCAGCCAGGGCAGCCCGGAACAGCTTGGGGGTCTCGGCCCTCGGGGGGATGACCAGGGCATCTCCGGGGCCGCCCTTCTCATCTTTGGGTTTGTCGTTGCTTCTCAGCATTTTCCTGCAGCAGGAAAGGGAGAGGCGATGTCAGCCCGGGAACACGCTCTGTTAGCTGGGTTTTGTGATGGAAACCAGGCGTTAAAAGCACAAGGAGCTTTGTGCGTCTCAGGGAGGACAGAACGACAAAACTAAGCGATGCTAAAAACTAAACCGAATCTTTACAGGGGTTTTTAAGCGAAGGCGCTCGGGCCACGCTCCTCGCCCAGCTCCAGCCACCGCGAGAGGCGAATTTGGGCAGCCGGAGCCGGGGGCCGGGTGCCCTCTGCCGAGGCCAGCGGCTGCAGCCGGGCTGGGAGCCGGCACAGGAGCCTTCCCAGGGCTTCCACAGGGGGAAAACACCCGGGAAAACACCCCCGAGACCGCGGAGCCAGGCTCTGCTGTGTCTAAACCCCGCAGGCTGGGAAGCAGCAGCCCAGCACGCACTTGGCTTTCTTACGCAGCAGCTTCTGCGACTCCGGGTAATGCACCAAAATCTCGTTCAAGTCTTTCTTCTCCAAAATAAAAAGGTTGGCGAAGCCGTGGGCCACGACGTTTGCTGTCCGGCGATTTCCCCCTCCTGCTGCCAGCAGGCTGGGAGAGACAATGCAGGACATCAACACCTCTGTTCACAGGCTCAGAACGCGAATCTCCTTCACCCCTCTGCACCTCTCTCTTTCAGGGGACTCAGGGTTTAATTTTCACTCCTGGTGGATTTTATCATGCACAGTTTTTCAAGAATATATGCTATATATTCTACTATACTATAGTAGAATAGCATAGTATACTATTATAGTATACTATACTATTCTATATACTATACTATTCTAGAATAGTATACTATTATAGTATACTATAGTATATTATAGTGTATATATATACACACACACACATATATATACTATATATATACACACTATATATATAAAATATATATATATACTATATATATAGTACTATACTACAATATGAAAATTATTTGCAGGTTTGAAGGGTTAAATGTTGCATTTTACAGCAGTCTAGTGTCTGCTGGGCTGTGGGGAGGCAGCAGTATTCAACAGGGTCTGCATGGAGACACAACTTTCCTTACAAGTGTAGCTGAGACAGCTGGAACAAAAAAAGGGGAAAAAAAGGACAGGGCCATTTTCCTTTCAGCTGCTCATGGCAAAAAGCAAGGGGGTCCTGCAGAGGTGGCAGGATGGCACTGCCTGCTGTGGGGACCTCTGTCCTGGCCACCTGGGGAAAGATTGGGAACATCAACTGGGCTGTGGGTGCCCCTGAAAGTACCTTGATTAACTGATTAATACATTGACTAATTATTAATCATAATTATTAATTATTATTAATTATCCTGTCTCTGCAGGATAGAGGAGATATTCATTCATCTGTGGCTACAGCCTAGCCAGAAATTGGACTCAGGCTGAGCACAGGCAGGCAAAAATTTAATGTATTTCCCTTTTGTACAGCAAAACAAATCCCTGTGGGACACTGGCACTCCCCAGACCTGTGCAAGATGCTGGGTCACCCCAAATCCCTGTGGGACACTGGCACTCCCCAGACCTGTGCAAGATGCTGGGTCACCCCTTCCCATCTGCCCACGCTTTGACAGACCCCAACACTCTGAGCTCGGTCCTTTAAGGCACCCTAACCCCTGCAGAGCTGCTGGGGAGGGCACTTTCGGCACCTAAGCAGCCAAGCCGGATCTCTGCGCTGCCCATGCTGACCTGCGCCTCCTGCATCGCCTGCAGCTCCTTCAGCCTCCAGCGGAGCCGCCCCAGGGGCCCCTTGCCCCCCATCCTCCCCGAGGCAGCCAGGGCAGCCCGGAACAGCTTGGGGGTCTCGGCCCTCGGGGGGATGACCAGGGCATCTCCGGGGCCGCCCTTCTCATCTTTGGGTTTGTCGTTGCTTCTCAGCATTTTCCTGCAGCAGGAAAGGGAGAGGCGATGTCAGCCCGGGAACACGCTCTGTTAGCTGGGTTTTGTGATGGAAACCAGGCGTTAAAAGCACAAGGAGCTTTGTGCGTCTCAGGGAGGACAGAACGACAAAACTAAGCGATGCTAAAAACTAAACCGAATCTTTACAGGGGTTTTTAAGCGAAGGCGCTCGGGCCACGCTCCTCGCCCGGCTCCAGCCGCCGCGAGAGGCGAATTTGGGCAGCCGGAGCCGGGGGCCGGGTGCCCTCTGCCGAGGCCAGCGGCTGCAGCCGGGCTGGGAGCCGGCACAGGAGCCTTCCCAGGGCTTCCACAGGGGGAAAACACCCGGGAAAACACCCCCGAGACCGCGGAGCCAGGCTCTGCTGTGTCTAAACCCCGCAGGCTGGGAAGCAGCAGCCCAGCACGCACTTGGCTTTCTTACGCAGCAGCTTCTGCGACTCCGGGTAATGCACCAAAATCTCGTTCAAGTCTTTCTTCTCCAAAATAAAAAGGTTGGCGAAGCCGTGGGCCACGACGTTTGCTGTCCGGCGATTTCCCCCTCCTGCTGCCAGCAGGCTGGGAGAGACAATGCAGGACATCAACACCTCTGTTCACAGGCTCAGAACGCGAATCTCCTTCACCCCTCTGCACCTCTCTCTTTCAGGGGACTCAGGGTTTAATTTTCACTCCTGGTGGATTTTATCATGCACAGTTTTTCAAGAATATATGCTATATATTCTACTATACTATAGTAGAATAGCATAGTATACTATTATAGTATACTATACTATTCTATATACTATACTATTCTAGAATAGTATACTATTATAGTATACTATAGTATATTATAGTGTATATATATACACACACACACATATATATACTATATATATACACACTATATATATAAAATATATATATATACTATATATATAGTACTATACTACAATATGAAAATTATTTGCAGGTTTGAAGGGTTAAATATTGCATTTTACACCAGTCTAGTGTCTATTATAGTATACTATACTATTCTATATACTATACTATTCTAGAATAGTATACTATTATAGTATACTATAGTATATTATAGTGTATATATATACACACACACATATCTATATACTATATATACACACTATATATATAAAATATATATATATACTATATATATAGTACTATACTACAATATGAAAATTATTTGCAGGTTTGAAGGGTTAAATATTGCATTTTACACCAGTCTAGTGTCTGCTGGGCTGTGGGGAGGCAGCAGTATTGCTGTGTTATTGACTGGTGCAGAGCTTTTCATTCCTGTGAAAAGGGCTGGATTAATGACTAGGAGATTGTATTTGTGAAAAACCTTTTCTGATCAATTTTCCCATTCCTTCATCCATATTCCTCTGTTTATCATCACCAGCTCCCCAGGCAGAAGACAAGATGATGATGACAAAACCAGCAGGAAAGCTGTAATTTGTGTCTGAGCTGCTGCCCAGCGTTTGTGCCTCTCAGTCACAAAGATTAATTGGGATGCTGCTGATCCTTCCACTCCCCACCCTCCTCTCCCACAAGCTGTATTTCCCCAGCTCCCTGAAATGCTTCACTCACCTGATTTCCCCGAAGACAGATCCAGCTTTCAGAGTCACCAGCACGGATTTGCCGTCGGGTCCCCCCAGCACCTGCACCTGCCCCGCCTGGATGATGTACATCTCACGGCCTATTTCTCCCTGCAGGGAAGGGGGGAGCTGCCTGGGATGCCCAGAAACAGGGAGAACTCATGGATGCCCTGAGCAGCATCTTGCTGGGAATCCCCATGACCATGCTGCCCTCTCCAAGCTCCCAAAATATCTTGATGGTGCTCACTTCTGAGCATTCTCACCTCAGCATCCCAAAGACCCCCACAAGCTTTCCCTGCCCCATCGCTCTTCAGAGCTGCAGTCTTTGTACAAGCTGCCACAGAGGGTGTTTTTGCCCCAGATTCCCCCCCGTGAGGTGGCTCACCAGGGTGATGGGCCTCCTGCCCTGCACAGCCTGGCTGTGACTCCCAAGCATCCCCTTACCTTCTTGCACACAAAGTCGTTGGGCAGGTAGACCACAGATCTGAGCCGCTTCAGCATGTCAAAGATCATCTGTCTGTCACAGCCCTGAGCCCAAACAGAGCGAAAAGATGCCAGCATGAGTCTGTGCTGGCGTGGCAGGCCGTGCCAGCCAGGGCTGTGCTGCAGAGGGTACCTGGAAAAGGGCCACTTTGCTCACGATGTTGTAGTTGACGTCGATGGCGATGTCCAGCCTCATCTTGTCTGGCAGCTGCACCAGCAGCTCTGACTCATCTGTGAGACAAAGCAGAAAAGTGGCTGCTCCCAGCACTTGATCTGAGAGTGTGCCCTTCCTGTGGCAGTGGGGAAGCAGCCCACGTTGTGGTGGCAGAGGGCAGGAGCCAGCTCTCACACAAGGGTCTCCTCCAGCCTCTGCCCACCCAGCAACCTGCAGGTCTAAATCTGGAGTGTGATGGGAGATCACCCTTTGCATCATCCCTGCCCTGATGGCTCTCAGAAACAGACCACCGAGCCCAAATCAGCATTTTTCCTGTCCAGGAGGGTGGGCACAGAGGTTCTGGTCATGCCTGATGGCTCACTGGTAGGGTGAGCTGGTGGCTGTGCTGCTGGACACACCCTGACAGGTGATGGACAGTCACTGTCCTCTCTCCAGGGCATGTGGGACACTGGGCTCCGTGTGCTGTGACCCAGTGGCAGTCTGTGAACTCCATAGGTGGGCAAACAGGCCCCTAGACTGAAGAGTAAAATGAGCCACCCTCCACCCCCAAACTGCAGTGCTGTTTGACAGGAACACTTCAGCTCTGCAGAGCAACCACGTGAGATAAAATGAGAGATTCAAGTGTTCACCCTGGAGTGGCTGGATCTCACCTAGCATGCCTTGGGAGTGCCACGTGTACTCGTACCACGTCTTCACCCTGTTCTGAACTGCTCTGGGGATCCTGTAGAAGTTCATGTATTTGATGGTGCTGTCCATGCAGCTCCGGTAGTACGTTTGTCCTGCAGTAGCAGCACCAACCACATCTCTCATCTGAAAGAAGAGGTGGAGGAGAACTTTAAGTTGCTGTCACTTCACATCAGCAGGTTAAGCATGCAAGCCAAGCCCTACCAGCATCTGATAATCCTTTTTGTCTTGCACTTATGCTGAGCAGGTCTTCCCATGGGGAAAACAAACCCAGAGAAGCAAACCTGTGGATCAAACCCACCAAAACCACCCCCACCTGAGGCTGTAAATCCCCCCTGGCTCCAACTCACCTGCCCTATCATGACAGAGAAAGCAAAGACCCCTGTGAAGTAGTTCAGCAGCTGGAAGACAATCTCAAACAGTGTCTTGGGGTCTGGCAGGCCCCCGATGGTGATGAGGGTTTTCACTGCCCAGTAGTAGCAGCGGATGTAGCTGGGAGGAGAGGAGGAGAAGAGGAGAAGAAGAGGCAGCTCTGAAGGCATTTCTGTTTCACCCCTCAGCACTGAACTCACAGCCTCTGACCATGGCAAGCCAGAGCCTGCTGAGAGTAATTATGGATGACAAAAAGAAAAACTGAAGGGCTTCAGACTCCCCACCACACCTGCAGGTGCTTCTGGAGATGCTACAGGAGCAGGGGAACCTGTGGTCCCTCCAGGAACCTCCACCTGGGAGGCTCAGCTCTGGTTAGTCCTGTTTTCTGCTCCTCTGCCATAAACCAACAACATATTTTCAGCCACATTTACACTTTTAGAAATCATCAGGAGAAAAAACGTGTTTGTGAGCAAATTCTTGGCATGGGATTTAGGAGAAACCAAGTGAATTCCTGATTCCCTGGTCTTGGCCATTCCCTTGGGTGTTTTGTTTCCACCTGAAGATGGACACAGATTTGTATCTCATACAAAATAACTGTAGCAGCCACATTTACACAGGTGTGGGCATTCAGCTTTGTGAGCCAAGGACTCTGCCTGTGGCAGCAGTCACTGACAGCACAGGGCACGTTTAACACAGGTATTGCCATGGTGAGGGGAAGGGCTGGCCACTGTCCCCATCTCACACCTGGCTGGTCTGAGGGGCCTGGCACAGGGACACAGAGGTGTCACTCCTCCATCCCAACCTGGCAACAGGCAACACAGGCAGGAACAGGATTCATGCTTTGAATGTCTCCTGCTTGGCCAGGGAGCATTCCTTTGCTTCCCAGCACCAGGATCCCACTTCTTCAGCCCCTTCAACCTGCAACTGCTTTCCACCTCTGCCCAGCTGCAGCCTCATCTTGCAGCACTGTGCATTACTGCACATCCCATCCCTGCTGTCCTTGTCATTCTCCCTGGCTCCACATCTTCTCCTGGCACTCCCAACCCTCTGCTTCAGGGGTTTTTATGTATCCAGCTGCATCCCAGCACCTCCCTTGTTGCTCCAGCTCATCGAGCAGGCTGTGCTATGTGAGACCCCCGGCCTGTACCTGTTTCCTTCCCCATCATAGACCCAGGTGGTGGAGCCCAGTCCTTCGTAGGCTGAGGCCCAGTAGTAGAGGCAGGAGTTCACATGCAGGCTGTACAGTAAATAGGCAGTGGTCCGAATCACTCTGCAGAAAAACCAGGAGAGAGCAGGAAGGGAGGTGATGTCTGCTGGGAAAGATGTCAGGTTCATCCCTGGGATCAGTAGGAGCCTTGAAGTGATGATCTTACAGGTGACAGAGCACCCCAACCCTGCTGCTGCCTCCTGCAGCTGCAGAAGTGCCAAGAAAAGCAGTTTATGATGGCTCTCCTTCACTGCCAGCACCCCTGTCCCCGTGGGTTGGAGAGGGGTGACCCTGCCCATGCAGGCTTTGGGACCATGATGTCCCACCACATCAGCCAAAGCCCATGTCAGCCAGCCCAGGCACAGCAGGGAAAGGAATCAGGGGCCCAGAGCAAGTGCAGAATGAAGGGAGCCTTCCTCCCCAGAGGCAAACAGCAATTCCATCCTCACCTGTAGATGTATGCCTTGGTCAGGATGGCCTCCAGGCGGCTGTTGAACTCGAAGAAGGCCATGTACTGGGAGGAGAAGGAGAGCTGCATGTTCCAGGCTCCCCTGGGAGAATCACCTCCCCATAAAACCCCTCTGCCCCTCATTTCCCTCCTGCAGCCCCTCTGCAGCATGGACTGCCACAGGCAGAATTGTCTCCATCCTTAAGAGCCCTTCTAGTCAAACGTGAGTAGTTTAGGATTGAAATGAAGTGTGCGACCAACAGCCCTGCAAAGCCTTTGGGACAAAACTCCCCTCCATTTTATAATCTTGCTGTCATCATCCACGAGTCTGAGCAGCCACAGCTCACCCCAGGCAGCAGAGGACTCCTGTGTGCCCACTGCACTGCTCTCCTGCCTGATTTTGTGAGCCCTGACTCACCTTCAGACAGCGAGGGAAGCGCAGCAGGGGGTTGACGCCCACTTTGAAGTAGAAGAAATCCAGGGGCAGCAGGCACAGCACATCCATCTGAAAACCACACAGGGAGAAACCTCTGTGGGGACCTGCAGGAGCCCCCTGGGGTGGGGCTGAACCCACAGGGCAGATGAAAGATCCAGATGAAAACAGAAAATGCTGACAAACCTTGAAGCGCTGTGATCGCAGGTAGTTCTCTTTCATGGCCTTTTTGTCAGTCTGGTGGAGAACAGGAAGGAGAGAGAGAGAGGAATATTGATTATTGCTTAGAGAAAGGAAAACTAGGGCCAATGTGGTCATGCCTGGCTTTCCTCCTCTGCACCACAACAGGGAAGATTCTCCCTTTGTGCCTGGAAAGGGGAGAAGAGCAAGCAGAGAAGTGCTGGCTGTATGCCATCTTCCCATCCTACCTTGGGACATCCTGTGTTGATTTTGCATCCCAGGAAAAGCACATGACAGTGCCAGCACCACAGAAATCAGCATTTGCAGGGGAAACTGCCTGTCTGAGCATCTGCATGGGCATGGGAAGGCTGTACCCTCAAGGTGTGGTTTTTCAGTTTGTTTAATTGAATATGGAAATGAAATCAAGGGCTTCCTTTATCTCAGGCATGTGATCTGTGTGTTCAGATTGCCATTGCTAATGCATCCTGCCTGGTGTGCTCCTGAAAATCAACCCCAGAGTTTGTTACACCCATGCCCAAGGTTGGCACCACACAGCTGTGCCAGAGCCAGTCAGTGAGCAGCTCACCACGGGCAGAACCACCCCGTGGAGCAGCACCCTGCAGGCATCCCTACCCAGCAGCAGGAAGGGCACACAGTACTGGAGAGGACAGCACTGACTTTATAGGGAAAAGTGGGAAAATTGATGATTTTAGTGGGAAAAAAGACTGCTGGTTTATGCAGTCAGTGGTCTCTGTGAGTGGACAGAGTGCTGATGGCCATGACCAGGGTGAGAGAGCTCAGTCCAGAGGCCAGCAGCAGCCGTGTCCCTCAGGGTGACAGGGATACAGGGATACAGGGATGGGAGGTGCCCCAGCTGGTCCCCAGGGTGGGATGCAGTGCCCTGCCACTCACAATGATGTCTCCCCCCTGCACGAACTGCAGCCGGGTCTGGAAGATGAGGATGTCCAGCAGATAAATGAGGTCACAGAGGTAATCCACCAGCAGCCAGTAGTGGATGTTGGCTGCAGTCTGGTAGGGGAAGGCCCAGCGGACAGGGATCAGCCAGCAGTTCCAGTTCCAGGCCATGACCACGAAGAACAGCCACAGCACGTACATCAGATCTGCACACAGGGACAGCACCACCTTCAGCTGGGCACATCCCTCCTCTGGGAATCCTCTACACAGAGGGGTTTCCATCTCCTGACCTGCCCTCAGCACATCAGGAGAACCTGCAGGAAGCCTCTGGGTGACAGTGTTTGATTGCAGCTGGGCTCTAGCACAGAGTGAACACCCCTGGTCACAGAACACATCTAGAAATCTTCTAACTTTGCTCATTCAGCTATATTTGCTTTTGTTCTGCTCCCACAACTCAAACTTCCCTGTTTTTCATCTCCAGCCATGCTGAACTGGTGGCTGGCTGCCTGAACCCAGAGGCTTCCAAAGGACTGAGGAATATGAAAGACTAAGGAAAGAGCTGGGCTTCTGTGGGGTGGCCACAAGGCAGTGGAATCTTCTTTTGAGATTTTAATTTTTTGGGAGGGTATCCACACCACAGGGAAAGCAGAATGCCCAGTCCTGCTCCTGACACACAGCTGGAAGTATTTAGAAAAGCCTGTGCCTTGCAGAGGAATTTAAAAGTGAAAAAACTAAGTTGTTTCTTGTTTAGTTTTTCTCCCCCCCTCATCGCCCTCTCTCCCCCAGCCCCACCAGCGTGCCCCCAGCCCAGGCTGTGCTCCATCACTCACTGGTGAGAGGGTCAATGCTGCTGGGGAACTGGTAGCTTTTCAGGTGGTCCAGCCAGGGCCGGTGCTTGAACGTGCAGCACAGCATCTCACAGTAGTGGTCATCCCCCAAAGGTTTGTCCCCCTCCAGCTCCCCTCCTGGGGCAGGCACCGCTGCTGCTGCAGGTGCTGGCTTGGTGGGAGCTGGGAGAGGCCACACAGTTATTTCAAAGGGCAGAAAAATCTTCTTACTGCACTTTTTCTTAAGGTCTTTAAACTGTTAATAAAACAGCTGCCTCCCAGAAAACACAGCGTGCATGGGAACCCACCAGGGAAACACTCCCAGCCCCACCTAGACTCACATGCCACAGGGCTGTCATCATCTGAGGTGACATCAGAGTCAATCAGCTTCTCCTTCACCTTCTCAGTCCTCTCTTTGAAGAGCCTCACCAGCTCCTGGAGCCGGGTGTTGATGACGGCACTGCTCAGGCTCGAGGCCGAGCCGATGCGCTCGGGCAGGCTGTGGGGACACCAGGGGCATTTCAGGCACGTGGGAAAGGCCAGGGCAGGTCATGGGCTCCTAAAACCTGGAATGGCTTGGGTTAGAAGGGAAAGGAAAGGCCAGGGCAGGTTCATGGGGTCATAGAAACCTGGAATGGCTTGGGTTAGAAGGGACCTTAAAGCTCATCTCATTCCAACCCCTCTGCCATGGGCAGGGACACCTTCCACTGGACCAAGTTGCTCCCAGCCCCATCCAGCCTGGCCTTGAGCCATGACCCAGTCATGACCCTTTCTTTAACCTACAGCATCTGAATTAGGATTTACCTGTGGTTTCTTCGGGTATTGTGCACTGAGAACAACACAAACTGGCATGGCTCTCTCTCCCTTTGGTATCCCAAAGGATATTTGGGATCTTTGCTACTTCCACCCAAGCCCCAGGATGCGAACCCCAGGATGTGAACCCCTGGCTGATCTGGAGCCCCTGGGCCCATTTCTCACCTTTCCCTCTGCTCCTGGTCCCAGCCCAGCCCTTGGCTCACCAGCCCCGTGTCCAGAGCATCCTCTGGGAGCAGTTGCTTCCTCCTGCAGACACAAACACAGAGACCAAGGGTTGGCTTGGCTCCTCTCCCTCCTCTCCCTCCTCCTCCCAGGACTGACCTGTTTTCCCTTCCCCCTTCTCCTGCTAGGGTCAGTTTCCCCTAATATTTGACATTGTCTGGAGTAGATGGGAGTGAACCCCCTGCTCCTTTCCTGCTAAAGGCCTGTTTCTCCCTGAGCACCAGCAAGCCTTTGGCTCCATGGACATGCAGCCACCTGGCCCATTTTGCAACTCAATTTGGGTACCTGGCAAGATACACAGAGGGCAGGCATCATCCTGTGCTTGCCCCCAGTGCCACAGCTCCACATCACTGCCCTTCAAGGGGCAGGCAAGGAAATGCAATGCCAGAATACCCAGAGCTTGTGTCCTAACACAGCTGGGGGCTCCCTTTGGCACAGATGGGTTTCTCAGGTGACTTCCTTATATGTGGGCAAGAAAAGTGTCAGAAGAGAAGCTGAATGTGAAAATGACAGTCGCAGCAAAAATCTAGACTGGTTTGCAAAGCCCAGAACTTCAGCTGTGATGAAGAAATTGTCTCCAGCCACCACAACTGCTGATCCCACTGGCCATGGCACAGAATGTCTCAGTGCTGTGTGTGGAGCAGGAGAGAGCAGGGTGCTGAGGGAGGTCATCCTGCCATCACAAATCCCTCAAAGAAATGGGAGTCAAATGGGATTCAAATGCTGTGAACCCATCACCTTCAGCCTCGCTGCTCCCAGGTGTGTCCTGCTGGGAGGTGGAGCAGGTCAACAAGACTGATGAACCTTAATTTCCCAAGAGCCCAGTGCAGGGGTGGAGAAGAACCACAAAACCCCCTTTTAAAGTACTCCCAAATGTGCATGGAGGGGTTCCCAAACATCAGTTTGGAGAAACAGTCGTGCCAAAGTCCATATTGGTGTTAGGACAACATCCACTGCCTCTCAGCAGTCTCCAGCTGCCCTTCCCCTGCCTCTGTCCCCTCAGGGCACCACGCTGCCTGTCCTCACCCCTGAGCAAGGCCAGATGCCAGCACGGGCAGCCCCTTGCTGTGTAAGGCACCTGCAGCAGGCACAGCCCCAGGGAGCAGCCAGCTGGGGTGGAGGGTGGCACAGCCTGACCCTTGCTGGGGTTTGGGTGTCCTCAGAATGCTGCAGCAGAGGCCAGAGGCCCTGGAACATGTGGGATGCACAGGGTCCCTGCCCATGTGGCATCAGCCAGGGAGTCCTGGCAGCGTCTGCAGGAGGTGTTTGCAGGCTCCGCTCAGGTGTGTGGCTCATTTGCAATAAGTCTTTTATGATTCTGTTTAAACATTGTTGACTCCAATCCTTCACAGAGCCATGTAGGAAATAACTCCAGCCTGTGGCCAGTGGAAGGCATTTAGAGATACTGGGTCACTGCTCCGTGCAGAGTTATGTCTTCTTCCTCTGAAAACACCAGCAGGACATGAGCATATTCCTTCTGGCTCACAATAATTAATAATTAATAATTAATTTTAATTTTTTTAATGTAGGAGAACAGGAGTTCCTTGCTTTTAAAAATAGCCAGTGTTGTTTTGAGACACTCCCTGGAGACCCAGCAGAAGGGTTTATATGCTCACACATGTAACTGCAGATATGTTTAATGCTGTCAGTGCTTTCACTGCAGGTATTTTACATGAAGCCTTGGGCTCTGCTGTCCCAGTATAAATAGCTGTTCAGACTGGACTGTGGACATTTTTGCCATTTTTTTTCTCCTCCAGGAGCAAAAATGAAAATATCCAAACTATGAAGTAAGAATGACTACAGCACCTGGTTTTCAGCACAGAAAAAAAATCCCAATTTAGCTTTCATTTTGAATCCTCTGCAAGAGTGAGCATAAAAAAGACCTAGTGCTACAACATAAAAAAAAAAATCCATCAGCTTCCTCCAGCCTAAATTTTAAAGCTCAGTTTTAATCCTCCTCTCTGTAAGCATAGAATTAGAGAGGATGAATGATCTGGGTTGGAAGGGACCTTAAAAGACCATTTAGTCCAGCTCCCTGCCATGGGCAGGGACAGCTTCCAACTATACCAGGTAGCTCCAAAGCCCATCCAACGTGGCCTTGAACACTTTCTGGGATGGGGCTTCCACTACTCCTCTGAAAGCTCAAACCCAGGGGGACATGCTGCAAATCCTTGCAGCAAAAATACAAGAAGAAAATGGTTTATTTTTAAGATGCAGGCTCATATCCAGCACATAGACCCTCTGTGCTCTGAATCTGGGAACAGAGAGAGGTGGACAACAGACAAATGGGATTTAACTATGGCCTGGGGATCAAGCCCATCTCCAGGAGGACACACAGACAGGGCTGTCCCTGGCCACAAAAGCTTTAAACAAAATGTAATTAAAAAGGCAAACAAGAGGCAAGGCTTTGGCCATCTCCTCTGCTGTGCACTGGGGTGACACCTGCTGCACACACAGCACTGTCCAAATCTGCTGGGAACGAGCACCTCCACATGGAGAAATGTGGATAATAAATGTTCCTGTGCTGGCAGCCTCAGGGGGAGCTGGGCAGAGCTGTACCTGGGGGATGCTGTGCCTGGGGGATGCTGTACCTCGGGGATGCTGTACCTCGGGGATGCTGTGCCTGGGGGATGCTGTACCTGGGGGATGCTGTACCTGGGGGATGCAGTGCCGGGCACCGCCAGCAGGTTGGGAGCGCCGGCAGCAGGCAGCTCTCCGTGGGTGCCGTGGATCTCCACAGCACGGCCTGGGCTGTCCACATCCTGGATCTCCACGGTGGGGGAATGACCTGCTCCGTGGGAAGGACAATAACGGCAGGTGAAGGGGGCTCAGGGCCCCCCTGCAGCCAGGATGGCTCCCCAGACCCCAGAGCTGCCCCCAGGCCCTGCAGCGTGTGGGAAGGACTCTCCTTCTCCCTCTCTTCCCTTCTTGCCTGGCTCTCCTTTCTCCTAAACATTTGGGGCACTTCTTTGTATTTTTTTTTTTTTTTTCATTTTTTAACAGTCTAGGAACTGCCATCTGCTGCCCTTCTGCTTGCCCAGCTTGCAGTGATTGCAGCTACTCCATCTGAGTGTTGGGTTTCCGTGGTTTGGAAAACCATGGAGATTAGGATTCCCAGCTGCAGGTCCTGGGCAGAAACCCAGGATTTCCAGGAGCAAACCTGCCTCCCAGGGTGTGGAGATATTCCTGCTCCTTCTGAATGTAAACACATGGATTGTGATAGCTCTGAACCACACAGTGTTTGCTTTTCATGCAAATAAGGCACTATTTAAATAAGCATTTATGGCTTCTTTCTTCTGCAGAGGTAATAACTGCTTCCTGCCACAGGCAAGGTCAGAAGCAGGAAGGTTGGATGTTTGTAGTGGGTAAAGAAAGATTCCAGTTGTCCAAAGGAGAAATGGCACTGGGGGCTACCTTGGCCAGACCCCACAGTCACTTGGCTGTGAAGTGTGATGTCTTTCTCAGCTATTTAACAAAATAAAATTAATTCCTGCAGGATTTCTTCTGTGGGGGGTTTTCACACATCTGAGAGACCCCATGCACCTCCTCCTGCTTCACACTGCTGTGAGGGTAGTGGATCAGAATGTGGCTTGATTAAATGCCTGAGAGAAGGCCTGTTTGGGTGGCAAAGTTAAAATCCTGTTGCACGTAAGGAAAAGCAGCAGAATTCGGCTTGCTGGTGAAAAACAAAGCAAAGCAAAGCTGCAGGAAAGGCAGAAAGCCATGAACAGCAAACCTCCACCTTCCTCTCCTCTTAGCACAAGCAGGCTGCGCAAATGCTGGAGAGAAAACTGTGTGTGGTGATATTGCACCCTCTGCCTGCAGGTCCTGCTTTTCTGAGCAGCTCTAAACACGCAGCATTTGCAAACGCTCTCTAGGCTCAGCTAAAAAGGCACATAGTGATGAGGCAGAAGCAGACAAACACGTGGATTTTGTTCCCCAGCCTCTGTGCTGCAACATGAAGCGTGCTTTTATTTTTCTGAATTCTCCACCCCCCGCCAGAAAGCAACAAAAAAAGCAAACTACTCCAGGAATTCCCCCCTCCAACTACACAAGGCATCAAAGCCAATCTCTAATACCTAGTGGGGATTGCTCCTCAGTGCAAAAATTGGGGTTGACAACTCCAGCCTTTGGCTTGCTGGCGGCAAGGACGGGGGTGGCAGCGGGGGCTCGGTAGCTGGGGACATTGGGGAGCTGCTCTAGAGCCCCGTGGCCAGCAGGGGACAGGGAGGGGACCCTGCCAGCCCGGGGCGTGTCATGCACCAGCCGGTCTAGCTCGACGTCCTGGGCCCGCCTGGCCATGCTGCTAGCAGCCTGCTAGGAGCTTCAAGCAAAGGACAAGGCTTCTGCAGCTGCAACAGAACACAGAGTGGTGTGAGAAGGGAGGAACGTGTCACGGCAGGAACGCGGGGTGACCGGGCTTTGGGGCTGCCTGCTGCTCACAGGGGCTGGGGCAGTGGTGGGCATCCCAGCACGTGTTTTGTTTTCATGGAGTCATGGAAGGAACCTTAAAGGTCATGTCCCATGGGCAGGGACATCTCACAGAATCACAGAATCACAGAATAATGAGGTTAGAAGAGACGTCTAGGATCATCGAGCCCAACCTGTCCCCTAGTGGCCTCACCAGTGCCAGGTACAGGGGGAGAATGACCTCCCTGCTCAGTCAGGCTGCAATGGGAACTCACCACCTAATTTTCATTACCAACCATTGTTTCCTAAAACACTGTATTAAAATGTGTTTTATGTCACTGGTTATTTCCCAAAGGGAGAAAAGTGGCAGAGAAAATACTTTTTATCCCTGTACATCCTCCAGTTGAAGGAGAATTCCTTATTTCACATCAGGGATTGCTGAATCAACAGGACTAAGCATTGTACATTCAGAGCTAGCTGCAGACAATGCCAATATTGCCATGGTGCTGTGCCCACAGGATGTTTTACCCCAGTGAACAGCCCAGGCCCACGCTGCAGAGCAGTCAGCTCCCTGCTCCCTGCCAGCAGGAAAGGAGAAGCTGGATTCTCCCCCCACCAGGCACTGCATCCCCTGCTTCACTCCATCCCAGCCTGGCATCACTGCTGCAGCTTGTACCTTCAGCATCGGCTTTGGCAGCTTCACCTGTCTCCTCTTCCACCTTCAAAATGAAAAAAAAGCCATTTTAAGGAGAAAAGCCCGTTCTGTCAATAAAAGAGCAGACTTTGTAGCTTGACTGGCTGCCCCATATCCCTGCTACTCGCCAGACTCTCACCTTGTTTGTTCAGTGCCTGCTCTGGAGGGTGAGAGGAGCCTTCCCTCCACCCACAGCTACTTCTGCTGCCCCAGCTTCAGGGCTGGGGACACCCTGGTGGGCAACATGTCCTGTGCCCAGCCCAGCCTGCTCCTCCCAGGGCAGTGCACCCCCTCAGAGAAGCTCTGAGCTTCTCTAAGCTGCAGGGCAGCAAGAGCTGGGGTTGCAGGGAGCCCAAGCAGGGAGCGGCGCCGTACCTGCACAAGGGCACCTTGGAGATTACTTATCTCAGCTTCCTCCAGCTGCTCAGCCCTGGGGGCCTCCTGGGCAAGGCAGGCTTCATCCACACCCTCATCAGCAGGGAGACAAGGAGGCTGCAGCAGGGGTCTGGAAGGGAGAGACAAAATACTGCCTGGGAGACCAGGTGAGAGGTGCATAAAAAAAGAGGGCATTGAATGGGCATAAGCAGAACCTTCAGAGGCAGAAAGATCCAGGCAGAATGTTTCTCCTCCTGTGCATCATTTCTCATATCATTAAAATGGGCCAAATAAAAAGCCAAAACACAATTTGCAGGCAAGGCTTTCCCACAAGCACTATTCAAATCCCATGTTTGTCTGTGCAAGACACCACCAGGACACATAATTTTCATTTTCCTTCCTGAGCAAGCACAGACCTCAGCTCCACCATTCTGACAAAGGGGCTCTCAAGACTGATTTTATTGCTTTAATATAACTTCATAACTGAAATAAAAGCACTTCAAATGCATGTTGCTCTATGCATTTACCTCTTGATTTGCTCTTTCCTGGCAAGAAATGCAAAGCAGAGATTTGGGATAATGAGAAGAATTTTAAGACAGCTAAATGCATGAAAATATTTGTTTTGTTATTTTTAATAATTTCTCCCCTTCATATTTAAAATTATGCTCCCTTCAAATGTGATCACAAATCTTTCCATCCTAAACTAGAAAACCTGTTGGTCTCTCTCTTTTTGCAGTAAACAAACACATTGAAGGATGGAATAGCATCTCATTCACCCCACAACTGAAGCTCAAGTTTCTACAGTGAAGCTCCAAGAACAGATTTTGATGAAATACAAACATATGGGTTTGACAGTGAGTAATCATGTGTTTTCAGCTTCTTCCTGAAAATCTAGCTACTTTAGAGGAATTAACACAGAATAATGTTGTAGTGCTAGGTAATAAATCCCTAAATGTTTATCTCATGTGAAATCAGAGCAAACTACTAATCTGAGCAGAAAGATGTCTCCCAATACCATCCAGACCAAAGCACCACCTTCCACAAGAACTCAGCTATTTTCTACAACAGGAAAAAATATAAAATTGTACCTACTTGTATGAAGCATTTGCAGACACAACACACAATCCTGTCTTTACATTCAGCTCTGTAACACTCAAAATAGTCCCGAGTGCCCTGAATTAATGGACATGGTTTAAACAGCACGGCCCAGGTGCAGGAGGGGCTGCGGTTGCCACGGGCGGCCGCGATGGAGATGGAGCCGTGTCACCAGGAGACGCTCCTGTCACCAGGTGCCGCGTCAGCAGCGAGCCCTGGAGCGAGCCGGTTTGCCAAAGCATCCCTCCCCATGCCATCCCTCCCCACACATCATCCCTCCCCAGCACACCCATCCCTGCCCAGCACACCATCCCTGCCCAGCCGCCTGCCAGGCTGGGAGCTCGGTTCTGCCGTGGGTGTTTCAGCCTCTCCAGCTGGTGAAAGCACTGGAAACAAAAGCTGCAATCACGCTCGTTTCAACAAAGCCCTAAAGGCAACGGGAGGCACTCACTCTGCACTCGCCTCCTGCTCCTCCTCTTTCCTCTTTTCCTCTTTCTTCTTCTCCTTCTCTTTTTTTCTCTCCTCTTTCTTCCTTTTCTCCTCCTTCCTCTTCTCCTCTTTCTTCTTCACCTCCTCCTTCTTCCTCTTCTCCTCCTTCTTCTTCACCTCCTCCTTCCTCTCCTCTTCCTCTTTTTTCCTGTCCTCCTCTATCTTCCTCTCCTCTTCCTCATTTTCCCTGTTCTCCTCTTCCTCTTGCTTTCTCTCCTCTTCCTCTTTTTTCCTCTCCTCCTCCTCATTTTTCCTCTCCTCTTCTTCTTGGTTCTTCTCCTCTTCCTCTTTCTTCCTGTCCTCCTCCTCTTGCTTCATCTCCTCTTCCTCTTGCTTCCTCTCCTCTTCCTCCTCTTTCCTGTCCTCTTCCTCTTTCTTACTCTCTTCTTCCTCCTCCTTCCTGTCCTCCTCCTCTTGCTTCATCTCCTCTTCCTCTTTTTTCCTTTCCTCCTCCTCCTCTTTCTTCCTTTCCTCTTCCTCTTTCTTCCTCTCTTCCTCCTCCTCCTCCTCTTTCTCCTCCTCCTCCTCCTTTTCCTCGTCGCCCCTGGTAATGTTTGGGGAGCACAAGCCCAGTCTGGAAAGGAGAAACTCCTTAGCTGAACCCCCAGGTGTGTGTGACACGAGGAGCTCTGTGTGTCCCTGGTTTCTGGCTGAGCTCTGCAGATGCCCAGGGCTCCCCTTGTGCTGAGCAGAGCTGAGCACTGCCCGTGTGGGGGGAACTGCTGTGCTCACCCGGCTGTGCTGGCTCAGGGAGCATTTTGGGGGCTCAGAAACCCTCTGTGAGCAAGGATGGACCCCTCTCACCCCCCTGCTGCCACACAGCTCACTGCTGGCTCTGAGCACGCTGCCCAGCCCTTGGGCAGACCCCAGCAGGGTTTCTATGGCAGAAACAAGGGTGAATTATACAGAGACAGCTTCCATTTCTAAAGGCATTCCAGCTGCTTGCACACTGCTGGGAATAAGGGCCAAGGCCTCTTGCCCTGGGGCCAAATTTTTCTTACAGGAGCCTGAGCGGAGCCTCCCTCCCCTGTCCTCTGCAGGGCACTGTAAGCATTGCTCCCATGGCTCTGCCACTGCCTGCCCTAACCAAACTGAGACACCAGAAGAAAAAAACATTTGATCAAGCACCTTTAGGATCCTACTGGGGGGTACCTCTCTTTTTTGGAAACACAGCTCGGCTGCCACCTCCAGCACCAGCACTTGCAAGGATGGATGCCCAGGGCCTGGCTTGTCCCCTCCCATGGCCACCACACTGGTGGCTGGAGAACACACAGACCTGCCCATCAAGAGCATCTCCCTTCCCCTACCTGGTTTCTTCTTCCTGAGGCTCCTCCTGGATGGTGGGAAGGGAACGAGCATCTGCCTGCAGCTCAGCCTGGTGAGCGCAGGCCGGCATCTCTTCGTTAACCTGGCCATCATCAATCTCTTGCAGGGTGAGATGGGTTTCCTCCTGCTCCCCAGGGACTACATGAACTGAAACAGCAATGGGGAAAGGGAGGTGGTGAGGGACAGCAGCACGTTCTCCAGAGGCCAGGGCAGGTCCCAGGTTTGCTGTGCTCAGTGGGGCAGTGCTGAAGCAGCTCTCAGCCTGCACAGAGCTGGGCAGCCCTGCTGCCTCTGTGTTGATATTCTCAGCTCAGTCAAAGAAAGAACAGTGATAATTTCTCCCAGGCTGAGCTGGGGAATCTTAGAGGAAAAGAATTAAAACAATTATTATCTCTCTTTCTGTAACTATTGTTTATAGTTGTGGTTCTCCACAGTGTGCTATTCATAGTACTCCAATAGTGTGAGATGTTTTTACTTTGTGACCAATCAAGTATCACCTTAATGAGTCACATTATAAAAAGACCTGGTACTTTCATTAAAGGGGCTTTTTGATCCACCTGAAGACTGGAGTCTTTATTTCCATCCCTGTCTCAACAGTGACACCCCTGAGCTGGGCTGCCCAGGTGCCTTGGATCCCTTTGCCAGAAGGAAGAAGAAAATTCACCATTTTCTGCCAAGCACAGCCAAAACCCCATGAAGGCCTTGAGCAGCCTGGTCTAGTGGAAGAGTCCCTACCCATAGCAGGGGGGGTGGAACTGGTTTAGCTTTAAGGGCCCTGCCAACCCAAAGCATGCTGTGATTCCATGAAAGCTACAATCCTCTGCACACAGATGAGTACTGGCTGCCCTGCACACGTAGCCCCCTCCACCAGCAGTGTCCTGGCCCATCTCCAGGCCACATTTTGTCCCTCCTTGCAATCTGGAAGAGCCCAAAGCCTTTCCCCTTGTGACCCCCCAGTGAATTTCTGTCCTAGCACAGCCCAAGGGCCCTGGGTCTGCAAGACCCAACCCAGAGCCCACATCACAGCACTCAAGCACCATGTCCTGCCCGCTTTGAGCACTCTCCCAGGCAAGGAGCATCCCCACAACACTTCCCAGCATCTCTGGGGCAAAACCCACAGCAGGTTACTGGGGGCTGTAGGCAGCTGCAGAGTGAGGAGTCTGACCCATGAGGAGCCCTCTCCATGTCCCAGGGGTACCCATCCTACCACGTCAGGCTCACACCAGAGAAACAGGAGGAGGAAGCACATCCGCTCACTGTAAAACCAGTTTATTTTGAGGTCTACCTGACAGCAAAACTTACATGTCCACAGACAAGCTAATAGGAAATGTGCAAACTGAACTACAGAAAGGCAGGAAACCCATGCAGTGTCATATCTGTGCCTTATTTACCCACCCCATGGTGTCCACAGTGCCTTTAGCCCATTCCCTCTGCATCTCCATTAATTAAAACATGGAACAACAATCAGGGAAATGGCTTTTAAAGCACACCATAGCTTTTGGATACATTATATGAAAACGTGGTAAATACTAAAACTGTGTGCTGGTACAAGCAAGATTCATTATAAACATAGGGGGTGGATCTCAAGGTAGTCTCTTGGCTCACAACTCATTGTTGCAATTGCCTGGATGGTCCTAAAGAGCTGCAACAGTGGGAGATCTTAACCTGGCCTGTCAATACATCAGAAGGCTTATTCAAAATATGGAAAAAGGTTTTTACCAAGGTCTGTAAGGACAAGGGGCAACAGTTTTAAACTGAACAAGGGACATTCATATTGGACATAAGGAAGGAATAGTGTACTGTGGTTGCCCACCCTGGAAGTGTTCAAGGCCAGGTTGGACAGGGCCTGGAGCAACCTTGTCTAATGGACAGGGAAGTTGGACCAGACCATCTTCAAAGGTCACTCACAACCCAAGTCAGCCTGCTACTCTAAGGTCTGTATCCAAAACCTGGGGTGCAGGGGCTCCCACCCCTCTGAGCCCAGTGTGCCTGCACTGGCCATGCCTGCCTGCAGCCCCTGGGCTGGAGACAGCCCCTGGAATCCCCTCCCTGCTGGGACATTCCTGCTGCTGCAGTTAGTGCTGCATCCATGGAGCTGAGAGCTTCAGGAGGGAGCAGCCCTAGTTGGGGGTAAGGAGAGTTTGGGGTAAATTCTCTCAGAAGAAGAGCCCGGGCAAATATGTTTAACCATTAACTCCAACCTATTCACCTAGAGATTAACCTCACCCACCTGATTTGCTGCTGCAAATCAGAGCCCTTTCCACTTGCTGGGAGGAAACAGTTATGGAAGAAAAGCAAGAAGAAGCTGACAAGATCTTCAAGAGGTTTATAACATTACACCTCAGAGGCAGAAGGTGACTCAAAGAATCCTGGAGACTTCAGCTGCAGGTCTCAGGGTGAATGTTCAGATGTTGTGGGGGCATTGAGAGGGCCAGGAGTGCTGGGAGATTGCAGCAAGAGGCTTTCTGCCACTGAGATGTCCTGAGTGATGCTTTACTACCATCCTGTAAATTATAGCTCCCACCTCACAGATACCATCCTGCAAAACCAGCAGCTCCAATTCCCAGAGCAAAGAGGGAGCCAAGTGGGACAGCCCTGGGACTGGGTCTCTGTGCCAGCCTTGGGTCCCCACTGCCCCAGTTGGGAAGGAGCTAGACACCATTTGCAGATTCCCCTTTGCTTTTCCTCCCCAGCTGTGCTTTCTCCTCAGGTTGGTCTCATTTGGGGGTGGGAAGGGCTGGTTTGCCACGGTCTTCGTTTTCCGTTTGTTTCAGAGGCGCTAAGCCCCTTTGCCCCCTGAAACAAAAGGAGAAGGAAAACATTAATGAGCGTGCTGGCAGTTTGGTGTCAGGGCAGATCTCTTGCTTGACCCAGTCATTCCCTTCCTTGGGCAGGGTTAAGTGACCTGGAGAGCCAGTTGGGCACCAGGGCTGTGCACGCCCAGCACAGGCAGCAGCATCCCTGGCTTTGCCTCTTCCCGAGGCCCATGGCAGCACACAGGCCTGCAGTTTGTACAAACACATGGAGAAATGCCTTCCCCCGGGATTTCAGGTTCTGCCAAGGGGCTGTTGGCTTGCAGAGCAACTTCCTAGCATATCCCTGGGGTGTGCATTTTCCATGTGCCTCAGCTGTCCCTGCTCCCATCAGTGGCTCCCACAGCCCAACCAGCCACTCCTTTCAAGCACAGCACTTGCACAGGGGTGTGAGGGGTGTGTAACCCTGCCCAGACCATCCACAGAGGCACCTGTGGCTCTGTATTTCGTCCAGCATCCCCCAAAGTGGCTGCAGTGGGGAGCCAAGCCCCCCTGCTTGCAGAGCTGGTGCTTGATGCCCTCCACAGGCACACAGCAGTGTGAACCCTGCAGGTTTTCCCACAGCCATGCAGATTCTATTCTAAGACATCTAATCCAGCATTTTGTTTTCCTGGGGTACCTTCCTAGAAATCTCACACCAGGCTTGGCAAACACCAAGGGAGAGAAAGAATGCAGCAGGTTTGAATTCCCTTGTAATTCTTTGATCAAATCTCTCCAGCTCCAGCACAGCTCAGGACAGACCTTGATATCAGCACTAACCTCAAAACCCAGGACCTGAGGATGCTGGGATCCTGGGATGCTGCAGTTGGAGACTCCCTCAGCCTGAGTTTTACCAAGCCCATGCCACAACTCAGCAACAGCTCCCACTTTTCAAGTGTCAACAACCTCCCATGGCTTCCCTGGGCAATTCCAGGGGCTCCTGAGCTGGCACCCAGAGCAGACCAGGGGATAAAGATGCCAGTGACCCCTCCTCCCAGTAACCCAAGCCAACAACGAGCTTGGCAGTCAAACCACCATGAAGAAACGGAGCCATCACTTACTTTGTTCCACAGGACTCGAGGTTGCTGTGGCCCCTCCCTGTCAAGAGGAGAAGGGAACCATGAGACACTGCTCATTTTCAGTAACCCTTAATTTTTACCCTCAATGCCCCATTTTCAGTAAAGGTGGTTGTTTTACTCTAAATAGCCCATTTTTGTGGCAAGTTGGTTGGTTTGGCCATGGGCACGAGCATCCCCACACAATGGTGCAGACAAGGAGCACATAAGCGAGTTTGCCTGGGGGCCAGGGAAGTAAAGGAGAGCTGTGTAAAGCTCCTGCTGCTCCTCCTTAGAGCTGGGACCACACCTGCATGAGATGCCAGAGCCTGGACACCAGCCAGTGCTGCACAGAAAGGCAAGGAAATGGTAAAGAAAGCACATGCTACAGGATCTCCCGCTGCTTAGAAGCCAAAAACTGGCTTTCATCAGCTAAGCAGGTCATGGGGACTTGTTCTCTATACAAACTTGGTGACAGCCCAAACCACAGCAGGTCCCAGCACTGATCTAGTGGCATCTGCATGGCAGGGGATGCCCTGCTTGTCAGGGATGTGGTGTTCCCATGCTCTTTCCCTATCCATCAGGCAGCCTACCTGTGTGTCTGGCTTCTCCCTGGTCACCGGCTGTGGCATCACCTTCTCCAGCCCCTGCACAAACCAGCTGAACATCCTGGAGACAGGAAACCCCCGGTAGGCTGGCAGCCAGAGCCTCTGCTCCCGCACCAGCCGTCCCTGCGGCCACCAGGGCCCTGCAGAAGGTGCCACCGCGGTTACCTGGTGCCATCCGCAGCCGCGGTCTGAGGGCTCAGGGCGGCCCCCGGCTCCGGCTGGCCCTGGGCTGCTGCTGCTGCGGCGCTCTGAGGGCCTGGAGCGCTGCATTTTGACTTCGCCTGGGTTTTAGCCCCTTCTGTGCCTGCTCAGGTTTATTTGAAAGAAGGAGGATTGGTAATGGAGCTGTCATAAATCGTTGGGAAGTGGAGCAAGCCAGGGAGGGTCACCTCCGCAGAGGGACAGGCTTTGGGGGCTGGCCTGGCAGCCTGCCTGGGGCAGGACATGGGCAGGTGGGACAGAGGCTGTGCAGGGGCTGTGCCGTGATGGCAGGACCTGTGTCCCCACCCCTGGGACCCGTGTGCCCACCCCTCCCGGCACAGAGGGAATCCTGGCCATGGAGACCAGACGAGGTGAGGCGAGGGCAGCCCGGCCCAGCCCGGGGTCGCGGATCGGATCGCTCACCTTCCACCGCGCCTTCGCTCCTCTCCTTCAGCTCTGTCTGCAGAGGGACAGAGGGACAGATGGACGAGGCAAAGCCTGTGGCCTCGGGCCACCCCAGGTGGACATGTCCCCACCGCAAGGGGACCCACATGCTCAGCCCCACACACGCTCAGCTCCACAAGCTCAGCCCCACGTGCCCAGTCCCACACGCTCGGCCCCACACGCTCGGCCCTATGTGCCCAGTCCCACACGCTCAGTCCCACACGCTCGGCCCCACACGCTCGGCCCCACATGCTCGGCCCCACACACGCTCAGCCCCACGTGCCCAGTCCCACACGCTCAGTCCCACACGCTCAGCCCCACACGCTTGGCCCCACACACGCTCAGCCCCACATGCCCGGCCCCATACACCCAGCCCCACACACGCTCAGCCCCACATGCTCAGCCCCAGTGCTCAGCCCCAATGCTCAGCCCCAGGCCCCACGTGCCCAGTCCCACACGCTCAGTCCCACACGCTCGGCCCCACACACGCTCAGCCCCACATGTTCAGCCCCAATGCTCAGCCCCACACACCACTCGCTCTGGTTTCAGCCCCACTGCCGTGACAACAACCAGCTAACCCAGACACCAGTGCTGCTGACACCAGCCCGTCAGGCCCAAATGAAGGGTCCTCCCCGCATCAGGGTTGAGGAGCACCGGGACAGCACCCAGAGGTCTCTTTTTGCTCTGCGGAATTCCCTTGGGTTTTCCTCCCCAAGGTCCCAGCTGGGGTGTGCAGGAGGATGAAGGCAGGGAGCTCGCCCCACTGTCACCTCTGCCCGGCATTCCCCTCTCTTCCTGAGCTAGGCAGTGCTCACCTCCAGCTTTTTCATCCCCTCTGGCTGCGGCAAAATCCTCTCGAAGCCCTGTGAGAGCCAGCTGAGCACCCCTTTTCCTGTCCTGCGGGGAGAGTGCCGTGCTCGGGGAGCTCATCCTGCGCCCTCCTGCCCTCCCACGTCCCCCCAGCCTCACTGGGCACCCACCACTGCTCCGGGGTGCTCTCCGGCTCGCCCTCGGAGACATCCTCCTCCTCGGCATCGAAGGGAGTTATCTCTGCAAGGAGAGCGCTGCTGTGGGCACGGGAACCCGCACTGCTGGGAGCCCCAGGTGCCCCATCAGCCAGCGCAAGGGACAATAGTGCCGGTGTCACCAGCCAGGGAGGTGGGATGGGGGAGTCCCAGGATGCTGCAAACTACAAACTCCCAGCTCTCCTTACCCAGGCCATCGTCGTCCTCATCCCCAAGGACCTGGACCTCTGTCTGGAAAGCCAAACATATTGTCTGAAAACCTGACAGCCTAAGAGAGGGATCACCCCACTGCGTGGGGAGGGAAACCTGCCCTTTCCCCAGGGATGGGTGAAGGTAGAAACCATGCAGGGCAGGTTTAGTGCTCCCAGTTAGCACAGGGAGAGTGATAAGAAGGAAAAAAGAAGAAAAGGTAAAAAGAGACAGAAGCTCAATTACACCAAATCATTTCCCAGATCCGTCTCCTACCTCATCAACAATGTCGATGCTTGTCTCGAAGCTCTTCCCGAGTGCCTGCAGCCCTGGGGCTGGGGCTGGCTGGGGAATCACCTTCTCCAGCCCATGGGAGAGCCAGGAGAGCACACTGCTCCCCACACTGCCAGGGAAGGGTGTGAGTCAAACTGGGAACGCCATCCAAGGCATCCAGCCCCCAACAAAAAGCAAAATCCCAAGCAAGTCATGCTGCACAAAGGGTGCAGGAGCCGTACCTGTCAAACACAGAACTCGAGTCCTCAGAAACCACAAAGGCCACTTTCTTTTCCGTTTCTTCAATAGCAGCAGGAGAAAATAAGGCAAGCTCCTATCACCACTCTGGCAGCCCCCAGGAGGCCAGGCAGGAGAGGGACAGGAGGGGAAAGGAGCACTGATGTGCAGCCTGAGCCAGTGTGGGGCTTACCCTCAGTGCGTGCCCGCTCAGCAGCATCTGTGGGGCCACCGGCCTTTCCTGGGGGTGCCTTCAGGACAGAAGGCAGGAGGTGTCAGAGAATGGGGCACAGGGGACACTGTCCCTGTTCCAAGGTGGCTGCAAACCCCAGGGAGTCCCCGTCCTCCTGCTGCTTCCCAGCAGCTCAGAGTAGGAATGCATCCCGGTCCCCTTCCCTCCTGGGGCTGCTGCAGTGCTGGGGATGGATGCAGAGGCACCAGGCACCTCTCATCATGCTCGTGGTGTCCCCATCACCCCCAGGCCGGCTCCCTGCTCACCTTAGCTGGCTGCACAGGGGTCTCCTCTGTCACACGGGGCACCGGGGGCTGGGGCACCACCCGGTCAATCCAGCCCATCATCCCGCTGGCTGCGGGCCGTGCCCAGGGGTCTCCAGCTGGCAGGAGCCCAGCAGCAGGGGTGCTACTGCCCAGGGAATGCCAGCTGCTCACTGGGCTGTCTCCTGAGCAGCCCAAGAAGGTCCTTGGTGTCCTTCTGTTTGCAGGTCCTGCTTGGGAAACACGGCAGAGCAAACCCAGCTCAACCCCTCACCCCTCACTGCTATTGTGAGCAAAATAAACACTCTATTTTATTCTCACCACCTCAGTTAAACTTGCTTTTCCTGAAGGTAGCTCCTCAGTTAAATGTTTTATTTTCACAACCTGTCCTGACTAGGAAGCCATTGCAGATAGATCACAGAAGCTGTGATGCTCTACTCAGGGTCCTCTACTCTCCCCCCCATTATTTTTCATTTGAAGGAAACTGAACAGCAATTTGAACAGAATTTTTTATGTGGAAGTTCATGTCACAACACACACACCCCCTCTTTCTGCCCCTACAAAACAACTTTGCTCCACCACCTGTGAGCCACACCCCAGGGACATGGTGGCTGCTGGGACAGGCACCTTCTGGGCTCTGACAAGGGCAGAAAGGCATCCAGCACTGGCTGCTGTGATGTTGGTAGGGTAGGTAAAAGTGAGATGTTGCAGAGCAGGGATTCAGCTGTGCAAGCTCTGGCTACTTGGGCTTTTTGGGTCCCTTCCTTCGCTTTGTGAAGCAGCTCCAGGCTGGGATACAGCACCAGTGAGCCAAGTGATGCTGCACATTCCCCTTCAGTGCCCTTAGGTGCTGAACAAGAGCTGGGGGCTCTCATCCAGCTCAGACTGGGGGTGTCACTTGCTGCTGCCCCTCTGAAGGGTCGTGCTCTGCCCAAAATGCCCCTCTAAGTACCCCACTCTGCCCAAAATGAAGGGCTCAGGAGCACCTCAGACAGCCCTCAGGGGATACCTGGGAAGGGTAAAAGTCAGATCCCTGAGCTCCTTCCAGCCCAGCCAGGAGACTGCACAGGAGTTCAATCCCAGTCCCACATGCAGCAGGTAGAGGCTGGAAGCTGCTCAGCACTGGGCTCTTTGAATTAACCCCTCATGCAGCTTTCAGGCATGCAGGACATCAGTTCCCTTGAGATGGCTCACTGGGGGCTCTCCAAAGCCTGGCTCCTTAAGTCTAGCTGGGGTTTGCAGGAAGGGTGATGTGTGTCCTCAGCCCTCTCCCATGCACTCTCCCAGAGACCCCCTCACCCCACAGCTGGACAGAGTGGCTGTAAAACACCTCCTGAGGCCTGACAGCCAGAAACCAATTAAATTATCTTGTATCTCTCCCTGGGTACAAGTGATTAAGGAGCTGTGAATGCCCTGGGAACAGCAAGGAAAAGCTGCCAGTGCCTGCAGCAGAAGCATTTCCCCCCATGCTTTTTCACTCTCACAGGTCCCAAAGAAGCCCAGGGTCCCTGTACACAGCTGAGCCCAAACAATCCTGGAGAAAGCCCCCTGAGGTGGCAGCGAGCCCCTCTTGTCAGCCAAGGGCTCCTCCTGCCTCCCCATGAGCTTGTGCAGCTGTAAAAGCCTGGACCATATCCCTGTCCTTGTTCTCGGAAAGAAAGTGGAGGGCAGAGGCTGTTCCTCTGCCAGATCTGAACAAGAAATGGGCAGAAATATTTGTGGGTCCCCACAAAACTAGCTGCTGAAAGAAACAGGAATAAGTAGGCAGATTTGCCCTCAATGACATGACAGAGCTGGCACCTTATGCATCCGGCTGCATTGCAGGCACCCAGCGGTGCCACCACCTGCTGTGGCAGCACCTTTTGCCAGCCAGCAAAGGCTCAGTCTCATTTCTGAGAGCAAGAAGGGCACAGACCCACAGCCTCATTTGGAGCAGGGGCACCGTGGCCTTTCCTTCCCTCCCAGCAGCTGACCAAACCTCCACATCACCCAGCCCTTGCAGCATCACTCCCGCTGGACCGGCACAGCTCATCCCCCGGCTGTTTCGGATCACCAAATCCCCCTGTGATGGGAGAGGTGGCCCTGCAGAGCTCCCAGCCACGTCCCTTGCCTCCATCGCTGCCACTTACCCCCGCAGGCTCAGCACTGCCTCCCTGGGAAGCCACCCTGGGACGCGTGGCTCCCTCAGCACTGCAGCTCACTGCCACTGTCCCCCGGCCCACCTCAATCGGCTCAGGGCTCTGCGAGGATTAGCCCTGGGCTGCCTGCAAATGGGATTACTGGCACCCAGCTGTCCTGAGTGCCCCCGCTCCCAGCAGCCAGCCTGGCTTCGGTGCAGGGTGCTGCAAAAAAAACCCCAAATCAAATAGGTTTGAGCACCCTCAAAGTCTCTGGAGCCACCAAAGCTCCCCCAGGCACTCACCGGCAGCGCTGTGAGAAAGGAGCTCGTCTCACCCATGTGCAGGGATGTGCAGAGGAGCACAGTGGAGCTGCTGAAACCCCGTGGGGTGACACAAGGTGATGTGCCAAGGGTGCTCCACCCACAGCTCTGCCCCAGCTCCCGAGCAACCACAGCAAATCTGGGCTGGGTTGGGCTAAGCCTCCCGTTGCTGAGCCTGCCAATTGCTGCTTGATCCGTTTACCTCCAGCCCTGCACGACTGCCAGCCTTTCCCACTGCCCCTAATCTTGGCAACAATGACACCCTGGAATCCATGGATTCCAGCCTGTTTCTGCATGCCCAGAGCTCCCTGCCCTGCCTCCTCCTCCCCTGGCTCCATGGGTGTCTCCATCCTGGTGGGTAGTGAGTACCCATCGTGCCTGACCCCAGCAGCTCTGTAGCAGGCTCCTCTCTTGCTGTCACAGGATGGGGGATGCAAAACAAACCCTCAGGAAAAGCTTGGACAGTTTTATGTGGGGCTGGAATTGCAGAGCACAACATGCAGCAGCTTTTACCCACTGAACAGCTGCTCCCTTCTGGCAGGAAGAGATTCCTGCCTGCTCCTGCCCCGAAGCTCCCAGGGAGGAGTTTTGCCCTGGGGAGGGATCATTCCAATTCTAGCAGGGGCAAAACCACTCAGCATACTCTGCTGGTGTTTGCTTTCAGCCCCTGGGAGCCTGCTTGTACTTTGCATCTATTGCTTACCAGGAAGATGAACCATCAATTCTACTTCAAAAAAGTTCAGGGGAAAGAAAGAAAACATGAAAAAACCCCAAGCAGAGCCAGACAAAGCACAAAGACAGATGAGGAGGCAGTGCTTGGCACATGGCCTCCGCTCCAGAAACCTTACACACCCACAGGAAGGTATAAATAACTATAAATTTATTAGTAAAGCAAAACCATTTGACACTCACACAGAAGAGCGGGATGTGTTATTACAATATATATACACACATACATGGAGTATCATCTTAGAAACACATGGAGAGCAGTGTTAAAGGCACTGCAAGCCACACAAACCTCAGCAACCTTGGCTGTGACCTCCAACAGCCCCGGGAACTCTACCGGAGTCGTGACCACAGGCTGGGAGGCGCCCAAGAATCTCACTGACCATGAAGTCCCTCGGATCCACGGCTTGGAGGCACTCAGAAACAAGCCCACGGCCCAGCTCCCACCTGTGGTCCTGCTCTCCCCACGGAGCATCCCAGGCACGCTGTGAGAGCAGCATCTTCACATCCAGAAAGTGCCAGAGGCAGCTGCCAGGAGCTGCTGTGGAGGAAGGCGGGTAGCTGGGGAGAAGCAGGGTGCTCACCCGGGCCTGGGGGGAGCTGCCAGCCCCAAACCTCACTGGCCTGCCCTTATGAATCTCAGCATTTCACCTGCATGCACAGGAACCTTCCCACGGGTGAACTCGCCACCCAGTGGAGAAAGAAACTCTGAAGTATAACAAGAGGGTTTTGCCTATTTTTTAATGGTCAGACTTCAGCTGCAGCCTGGACTTGATGGTAAATACCCAAGGGAAGTGCAGAAAGGGCTCTCCTCCCTCCTCTTCTCCCTGTAAGGACAGGCTTGAGTGCCCAGAGATGGTCCCAAAACTCTGTCAGAGGATGTTTTCCCCTTTTTCCCCCAGTCAAGCACATGGGCCCCAAGACCAGAGCATGAACATCTTCCCACCCAGACTGCAGAGATGGCATCTGCTCACTGGGGAGCTGGCATGGCCACCTGAGCATCCCCGTGGTCCCAGGGGTGTCCCTGCCACAGCCAACTCAGCTCAGCTGCCTGCTTGATGCACAGAGCTTCTCCCAGCACTCCCAGGGGAACCAACTGCACTGCCTGAGCCCACCCCAGTGCCATGACATCTCCCCAGGAATGTCTGACAGTCCTTCACTGACTTAATCCCCAGCCTTGGAGATGGAAATGGCAGCTCCCACCCCAGTCCCCATTCCCTACAGCTCTGCTCTGGCATTGCCCCTGCCCAGTGAAATGGATGGCCTGCTGTGGGGAAGGACCAGAAGCACCCACTGGATTCCAGCAAGACTCAGGTCCTAAACACCTGATCTCACCAGCAGTGGTTTGGTACCACCAGGATCCAGCCTCAGCCTGGGAAAGGAATTTGGGGCTGGGGAGAGCAGAGGGAGGTGGGAAGGAAGGAAGAGACTTCACAATCAGTATGGAAGAAGGAATGAAAAACAAACCACTGCTTACAAATAAAGAACTGAACAAAGAAAATAAGCTGAGAATGTCTTCTAAAAGTATGAGCTGTGGAAAGGAAGGGTCTGAGACAGCTAAAGGCATCCTGTAGGTAGGATCAGGGGAAGTGAACATCAGTAAAAGCCCAGGCTACAGATTACCTTTTCCTGGACCCAGGAAGCCAGAGGAACAGCAGCCCTAGAGAGCAGGACTTAGGACCTGCAGAACACCCACACAAGCTCTGCCCAACCTAACCCTCCTCTCCACCTCCTCAGCACCATCCTATGCTCAGACTGCCTGCCAAGGAGAAGCACCCTTTGGGAGGAACCCCCTGCTACCCAGCCCCTCAGCATCCTCAGGTGGGCTGCAACAAGGTCTGGAGCTGCCTCGAGCACTTGCCACGGGGTTGGTGGCACATCAGCTCCAGTACAGCAACTCTTAAGAGGTGCTGCAGGGCAGTGAGGAATGCAAGAGGCCAAGCAGAAGCAGGAGCCTGAAAGTTGCTTGAAATAAACACCTGAAGTGAAGTGCAACAGGTACAGAGCAGAGACATGGTTTACTCCCCACAGGGCTTTGGCCCCAGCTGCTCTTTGGTTTGAAAAGGAAACAGCAGCAGTCAGCAGAGCCCTGCAGTGTGATGCCCCAGGCACATCAGCTGCCAGGCCAGCCCTGCCTCCCCCCACAGCAGCTCAGTGCTCCTGACACTCCTGTGCCTCCTGCTACTTCCCCCTCCTCCCCTCACGGGACAAAACACCACCTAAAGGCACAGCAATGGAGATGGACCTGCTGCCCCCACCCCTGTAGGCAACACTGCTGCTTCCAACTAGAAAATGCTCCTATAAAAATACACCCAAAGCTCTCTGTGGCCACTCAGTGCCCACCCCACACAGGTCCTCTCCCCACAAGCTCCAGCTGCATGTTCTCCATGGGCTTCTGTGGGATTTGGGCTGCTGCAGGGCAGCAAATGCAACAAGAGACTGAGTCACCATGGACTCACAGCCAGCCCTAAAAATGATGTTCTAATCCTGCACCATGATGTTTTTGAACCTGGAGGCATCTATTCACCAGCTGATGACCTGGACCTGGGCTCATCCCTGCCAAGCTCCCCTCTCTCCCTGGCAGGGGGTGTCTCATGCACACAGCCCTGATGAGTCTCTGCCCAGGGCACTGCTTGGCTATTGCCACATCCTAGGCAGAGCCATAGCCCCTCACTGGGATATCCAGGGCTTTCCCAGCTGCTCAGCAGAAGAGAAACACCCTGCAAGGTCCCTGTGTGCAGCTGTACCAAGGGGACAGGATCTGGCAGCCCCATGGCTCTGCATAGTGTGGAGCTGTGTCTGGGGCTCACCACCACCCTCCTCTGCTCCAAGGGCCAGGCAGCTCCCCCAGGCTCCTGGGGAGGGAAGAGAGCAGGGCACAGCCAGCTGATAATTTCTCCAAACCCTCCTCTGCTGCTTCAGAAAGAAACAGCAAAGCCACAACAGCCGATGGAGGCTGCAGCTGACCCTATCTCACACCCTGCTCCTATCTAGAGGCTCCTAGATAAGCAGCTGACCCTATCTCACACCCTGCTCCTAGCAAAGATAAACCTCTGCAAGCTCTGAGCCCTGGGCACTGATCCTGGCTGCCAGTGACCACTGAACCCTGGCAGCTGTGCTGGGCAAGGGCAGAGGAACCACAGCCCAAGGCAGCAACAGAGCATGGGTTCAGATGGGTGCCACAGTCCTCATCTGGTCCCACATTTGAGCCTCCAACACCACCAAGCCCTTCTGTAAAGACAGGATTAGCCTTCCTTTGTTTGGACTCTCTTTTACTCCTACAGTAAAGCATACACTGAACTTACTACATATTAAACAGCAAAAACCAGTTACCTAGAACTAAAGAGCTCTTTAAAAATTCAAGTTACCACATCTTTTTTTTTAAAGATTCAGTATGACATCAAGTTAAACTATACAGTATTTTAATGAATTTTAACAAACTGCTTTAAAAAAAAAGGTAAAACAAAAAAAGAGGAAAAAGAAACACAGATGGAAAACTTGGTAGGAAGTTCTACATCTTTGAGGCAGCACAAAGTAAGATAACCACCATGGGTCCCTCCTCCTTGGGCAGCAGAGAACACAGTCTGTTTTAATCACCTTAAAGTTGCACATGAAAAAGACTCAGCCCCAGGGTCTGCCCTGTCACTGCCCTGTCCCAGCCCCTGAAAATACACCCTGTTCCCCTCACCGTGCTGGAAATGGAAAACTAAAGCCTTTCTCCACCTTTCAGACAGGTGTCCCCCAAATGAGATGCAGGCCCAGTCCAACCCTCTGCAAGGTTAATGTCTACACTTGCCATGGACAACAGCCATTAACCTTGTCCCAATCTCCCGTGCAGCACATGGATAACACCCTGGCTGCTGCTCAAAACCTCACAAGAGCACCAGCCAACAGCACAGACGAGCTGAGGCTGGCAGGGACCTCTGAAGACCATCAGGTCCTACTCCTTGCTTGCACAGGATCAGCTACAGCAGGTTGTCCAGGACCACATCCAGACAGGGACTGAACATCTCCACAGATGGATACTTATTGTCTCCAAAGATGGAGGGGGAAGGCAGGGGAACCATCTAGTAGGCACATCTTCAATCTCCAAGGCATCTAACTGACACGTAATGGATCTCTTGGACATGAGAAGCCAGCAAATTCCTGCAGAGGAAAACACCTGAGGCTGCATCAACCTAGGGGAGATTTATTTTTAAGTGATGTTTACAAGAAGTGTGCAAAACCTGAAGAATACAGACGAGGTAAAGAAAGGGCAAAGGGGTAAAACAGGACTCCTGCAAGAGGGGAAAAAATAGACTTCTCTTTACCCACTGCTAACTTTGCCCTCCCCATGGAGCTGAGCCTGCAGGCCATAAAGGACTCTCCTGGCTCACTCTGGTTCCTCCAGCAAATCAGACACCAAGCCCCTGGCACATGCTGTGGGTTACTGCTGGCCATGGCAACACCTCTGCAGTTGTAGGTTATTGTAGTGTTCATCTCACCCCTTAGTGTTGGAGCTGTGACAGCCCATTGCCTGACCCTGCTGGAGGTACCACTGTCAGCCAAGGGGTGCTCAAGGGGCTGGAGGCAAGGCAGGAGGAGGCTAAGTCCCTTGGGAAGCAGCTCTTGAATGGCAGGCTTTTGGTTGGGAGCAGGGTATGAATGCTGTAACAGAATCATGGAACTGTTAGGGCTTGAAGGACCTTTGGAGATTATCTAGTCCAACCCCCCTGCTAAGTTAGGGGCACCTAAAGCAGGTTACACAGAAATATCTCTAGGTGGGTCTGAATGTCTCCAGATGGGGAGAATCCATGACCTCCTCCCTGGCAGACTGTCCCAGTGCTCCTTGCCATGCTTTCTGGTGGCAGCACAGCACTTCCCTGCGCAGCTGGCAGGGACAGGGGGCAGGCAGGCTCACTCAGAACCCCTGCAGAGTGTGACAGCCAGCCACTGCAAAAGCAGCAACGCCAAAGTGCTTTTTGGAGCTGTGAAGCCCCATGGCTTTTCCCTTTCAACACTCTAGAAGGAGGGAGAGCAGGGGAGGTTGGGGCAGTCAATCAACATTAACCATCTGAAATAATGCCCTCAACTGAGCCTGGACCAAGTTGGGAGACCCCAAGCAGCACACCCTGGGAGAAGGGAGGGCTGGCTCTGCCTTGCTCCTAAACCCTCTCCAGAAGGAGAGTCACCCAATCCTCCCCACCAACCCTGCCAGGCAGGGCAGGGGAAAAAGGCTGCACGCAAAGAGCTGGTGCCTGCAAGAGACAGCTGAGCTCCCAGGACTGGAACTGCAGGTACAGCACAAACGACAGTCCAGGGAACACCAGGCATCTACAGGCATAGTTTCCTCTCTCCACCTCCCTCCTTTCCTTTCCACCCCTTTGAGATGTCCACGTCGTCTGTCGCTACTTCGATACAGGTGGCATGTCTGAGGCCAGAGGAAAGTTTACCTGCCCACACACCGTACCCCCCCTTTCCCCCACACTCCCTGGAGGTTGCCAACAACCGAGGAGAGGGAAGGGAAGGCCGAGGCTCGGGAGCGTCCCATGCAAGCTGAAAGCCACCGTGGGGCGGGAGGCTCATGGCAAGCAGGCAGCCACCTGGTAGGCACCCTCGGCCGTGTGCTGGACGCTGTGCTCCTGCAGCAGGCCCAAGTCCAGGAACCGCTCCCCGCACCACATGCACTTGTACTGCTGCTCCCGGGCGTGCACGCTGTGGTGCTTGTTGAGGTGCTCGCGCTGCTTGAAGGCCTTCTCGCAGGAGGAGCACTTGTAGGGCTTCTCGCCCGTGTGCACGCGCCGGTGGCGCTGCAGGTCCGACGCGTACTTGAACCGCTTTTCACAGTCGGGGCACTTGAGGGGCTTCTCGCGGGCCGGGTCGCAGCGGTGCTGCACGAACTCTGAGGAGGAGAAGAAACGTCTCTCGCAGAGCGTGCACTTGAGCGGCTTCTCGGCGCAGTGGGCCAGCTGGTGCTTCTGCAGAGCCGAGGCCCGCTTGTAGGACTTGTTGCATACCGCGCACTTGAAGGGCCGCTCGGCGTTCTGCACGCACTTGTGCCGCAGCAGTTCCGAGGACTGGTTGAAGCCTTTCTGGCACACGTTGCACTTGAAGAGGTTCTCTATGCCGTGCACGTGCTGGTGGTACACCAGGTGCGAGGGCTGCACGAAGCCCTTCTCGCAGAGGTTGCACTTGAAGCGCTCCTCGGCCTTGTGCGTGCGGCGGTGGCGCATGAGCGCGTACTGCTGCTTGAAGCTCATCTGGCACAGGTCGCACTTGAAGGGCCGCTCCTCGCTGTGCGTGCGCTCGTGCTGCCGCAGGTCCGAGGGACGCTTGAAGGCCTTCTGGCACTCCCCGCAGCGGAAGGGCCGCTCCCCGCTGGGCGTGCAGGGGTGCTGCAGCAGCTCCGAGGATTCCTTGAAGTGCAGCTCGCAGACGTTGCACTTGAAGAGGTGCTCCCCCGAGTGCGCGTACATGTGGCGCACCAGGTAGGAGCGGTGCTTGAAGGTCTTCTCGCACACCGTGCACTTGTAGGGCTGCTCCGAGCTGTGCGTCCGTTTGTGGTGCACCAGGTGGGAGGACTGGCTGAAGCTCTTGTCGCACAGCGTGCACTTGTACGGCTTCTCACCCGTGTGGATGCGCTCGTGCCGGGACAGCTCCGAGAGGTGCTTGAAGGTTTTCTGACAGATGGAGCAGCTGTAGGGCTTCTCCGAGGGGTCCAGAGGCTGTGAATGCTCTACCTCGGAAGTCTTGTAGGTCTTCTCACAGATAGAGCACTTCATGGCGTTGCCGTTGTGGACATTGTGGTGCTGCGCCAGTGAGGTCAGGAGGGAGAAACCCATCTTGCAAACCCCGCACACAAAGGGCTTCTGCTCCACCTGGATGCACTGGTGTTCGAGGAGGTCGGTGGCCTGGTGAAAGATCTTCAGGCACTGGGTACACTGGAAAGAGCGGTCATGGCTTGGCAAGCACTGGTGCTCATGGGGGTTGGAGAGGTGGGCGAGGTCATGGCCACACACGCCGCACTTGTGGGATGGCTCTCCAGCCTGGATGGGGGCGTGCTGGTGGTGCTGCAGTCCGGGGTCCGGCTGGAGCAGGATGCCGTACACGGCACAGCCCAGGGGGTTGTCAGCAGTGCTGGGAGGGATGGAGTGCTCTGGGAGGGCAGCTGCCCCAGCGTGGTGCTGCTGCTGTGGCGGCGGCTGCTGTGGTTGCTGCTGTTGCTGCTGCCAGCTTTCTGACATGCTTGGGGAAAAAAATGGGATTTCAGCAGTGATAGCTTCAGGTTCCCGGATGAAAGGGTTCAAGTAAAAGCAAGACCAAAAACTTCTGAGATCCTGATTCCCTGTAAATGATCCCCTCAAGCTGAGACCAGAAAATCCAGCCCACAGCCAGGATCCTGGGAAGAAAAGAGGTGAAGAGACTCCAGAGCCTCCTCCTTAGACCAGCACACGTTCTTTATGGACTGATTTGGTCTGGCTTTTCCTTCTTTTGGACAAAGGAACGGGAGGCAGAGGCAAGTGCCTTGAAGACGACAGGAGGCCCTTCTCCGTGCTGGCTGCGATGTGCTCACACTTGTGAAGGGCACAGGATACAACCCAGGGAGCAGCTCTCTCTGCAAGAAAGAAGACAGCTCAAGTCAGGTCTTAGAAGAAACATGGGCAATTCTCTATCAACCTTCCCCCATGGCTCTCTTTGAAAACTCTCCTGCATCCCTGCAAAGCTACCAGGAAGCCAGCCTGGAACCAGAGCCCCTCTTGCTGCTGTGCAAAGAGCCTGGGACAGGGAGTTCTCAGCTTGGAAAGAGCTGAGCTTTGCTCAGACACAGCCAGGCACACGTTTGGGTGTTGTGCTCTCACAAGAGGCAGCACAACTGCCCAGGACCCGCTCAGCTTAGCCTTGAGTGGGTCAGTAGATCTCCAGCACTGCTGTGGCACTGGCCCAGAACATTGGTCTCTCTGCACAGGCTATGCATCAAACACCGTGCAATCAGAAGCTACTGGGTTAGATGTTACGCATGTCAATGCAGATCCTAACACGATCCCACCCCAGCTGAAACAGCTCTGTGAAACAGTTCTGCTCCTCCTGCAGCCTGGATATTGAGCCCATTACCCAAGGGATGCATGCAAAGCATTTCCCCCTCTCTGGGCAGCGCTTGTAGACTGGAAGAGCCAGGGAGCTCGGGAGAATATTTGCCCTCAGTGTTATCCTATCCTCAGACAGAACCCACAGGGATCACGCTGTGAAGATAAAAGAAGAGTTAAAGCAGTGGCTTAGCTGAACATTCTACCAAACCACGTAATAAAAGTACACTGAAGCCAACCAACCTACGCCAGAGCTGCAGCCTGGCCTTGCTACAGAGCATCATCAGGCTTGTGCTCACTGAAAAGTTCCAGCCTTTCTAGAGATGCCCAATAAAACCTGGCACCAACTTAAAGAAGAATAAGACCCACCAGTGAGCAACAGTGTGAACACACCTCAAGAGAGAAAAAGGTGCAAGCCCCGGTGAGCAGCAGCCAGCAACATTCCTGAGCCTTGAGCCCCCAGCCCCAAAAAAAGCACCCTCACGTCTGTGTCAAATCACCTCCCTCCAGGATAAGGAAATCCTTGGTATACCACAAGAATATTTTTTATGTTTAAAACTATGCAATAAAGAGCAAGAGAACCCCACTCCCCAGCATCCCCACCTCCACTGGCACTCAACTGAGACTGGGTTGAGCCCCACAACTCAGACAGCCCTGGACCCACCTCTGGCTGTGGGGACACTTCATTATTTTGTGCTCCAGCACAGTGTGGGGCAGTAAAGCCCCCAGAGGCTCCCTCGCAGCCCTGCCGGCACGCAGGATGCTCTCCTTCTCCCACAGAGCTCACCTTGGCGAAGCGAGGGCTCGCAGTGCCGGTACCCGCACCCGAGCTCGGCGGGACACCAAACTTCAGCCCAGCCCGGGCGCCACCTTCCCCCGCACACACCGAACCGGGGCGGGATGAACCCACCGGCGACGCACCCCGGCCTAACGGGGAGGGAAGACTGAGGGAGAGCGATACCAACCTTGGCTTACCGAGGGCTCTGCGCGGGGACCCGCGTCGGCGCCAGCTCCAGCCTAACTCATCCCTCCGTGGGAGGTGGAAAGCGACAACCATTTAGGGAGCGCGGTCGGGAGCGCAGAGGTACTTTCAAACTGGCGAGGCGGCCTGCTCGGCATAGCCCGGCTGCTCCCGCCGGGCCCGGGCCGCCTCAGGGCCGCGGGGCGCGGGGGCGGCCGGGGAGCTCGCAGGNGGGTGCTGCCCCCTGCCGGGCCGCGCTGGGAACTGCGCGGCCGCCGGCGGCGGGGAGCGGCCGTGGCGGCGGGAGCCGCGGCCATGAGCGCCGCGCTGGTGGGCTACAGCAGCTCCGAGGAGGAGCAGGAGCCGGAGCAGGAAGCGGGGAGCCGGGGCGGCGGCGCGCAGGGGTCCCCCGGTACCAGGTGGGTGCGGCGGGAGCGCGCGGGAGGCGGCTTGGGCGCGCGGCCTTCCGCCTCCTCTTCATCATTCTCACCCCGCTCCGGTCCCGCAGCGCCGGCCGCCCCCGCCTGCCCGTGCCCGCCGGGCTGCCGGGAGACCCGGACCCGGAGGAGGCCGTGAGCGATGACAGCTCCCGGCACGGCGGCCGCGTGCGCGGCTTCCCCCACGAGCGGGGCAACTGGGCCACGCACGTCTACCTGCCCTGTAGGTACCGGGATGGGACCGGGACCGCGACGGGACCGGGAGGACGGCGGGACGGAACTCAGCCGCTGCTCCCCGCGTCCCGCCGGTCCCGGCTCCTCTGACGGCGCTGCCCCGCAGACGTTGCCCAGGAGGAGTTCCTGGAGCTGCTGGAGCTGCTGGTGTCCCGCGCCCGCGCCTACGTGCCGTCGTTGGCTGCCATGGAGGAGTTCCACCTGAGCCTCTCGCAGTGCGTGGTGCTGCGCTACCACTGGATCGAGCCCTTCGTCCGCTCGCTCAGGGAGCGCCTGGCCGCCTTCCACAGGTGGGTTTGGCAGAGCCCCGGGAGAGCGCTCCTCACACCCCTGCTCTGCCCTCGGCATCCGTGCTTTGCCAGCATCCACGCCCTAAGGTGTGCCTGGCAGCTGGTGCTGGGAACATTAAAGCCCTGGGGATTTTTCCTCAGTGCCTCAGGATCTGGCGCCTCAGGATCTGTCGCCTGGTTTTGGCTTTCCAGGATCAGGCTAGAGCTGTGCCATCTCTAAACCATGGATGGTTTTGTTGCTTACATCTGGCTCAGGCCCTGGCTGAGCATCAGCTGCTTCAGGGCTTCTGTCACTATCCCGGCTTTGGAGGGCTGGAAACGGGAGGGGAATTAATTAATTTGGACCCCAAAATGTTCTGATTGCACCAGTTTGGTCTGATTGCAGCATATATTTGCCTGTATCTTTCCATGGCTTGGTAACAATCCTGGCCCTTCCTCATCTTCTCCTTTTTTATTTTTTTTCCCTGCAGCTGAAATAGGATCTTTCTTATTTCAGGTTCTTCTGCGTGGCTGACCAAGTGAAGGTTTACACCAACCAGAACAAAACCAGGTGAGTGCAGAGTGGAGCAGCCTGCCTGCCCCAGGAGAAGTCTGAGCAAGGTGCTGGGTGGATGGGAAGTGTCACCCTGCCTCTCCCATGGTTGGGCTGTGTGACAACACAGTATGTGATCACCTCCAGATCATCTCCAGACATTTCACACCTTTCCCCGGCCATCTGTACAAATTTTTAGCTTTGGCAGTGATTCTCTGCAAGCTTTTGGTCTCACAGCCTGGGGAGAGCAGAGTGGGACCACCTCTTTTGGCAGCAGTGCCAGTCGTGAAATTGTAGTGCAGGTCTTCCAAGAGCTGCAGAGAAATAGCTGAGATGGTGCTAATGCTCCTGGGCATCAGCTCAGAAGCCTGATTCCAATGGAATGCAATTAAGTTTTTTTTTAATGTCAAAGCAAAGGTGATTAAAATTGCAGAAAGTTGCTGAATCTGGTGGGAAAGGCAGCCCAGTGTAGTCATGGGTAGGAAAAAGTGGATATGGAACCTGGGTGATGGTTGAATTGTCTGCTTCCTCTTGGAAAGGAAGAAATGATTGACTCTGAATGACTCTAGAAAGTGTCATCCCAACAGTCCTGGAGGAGGTGCTGATTTCTTTGTCACATCCCTCCAGCTTGGTACTTCCCATTCCCAGCTTCCTCTCACACTGTAAACCCTCACCAACAACTTCCACTTTTTTCATGCAGCTCCTGCATGGGCACAGCACTCTGCTGAAATTCCCATCCAGTGCATCCTTTGTCTAGAAAACTGATATTCATGTCCCAAAAGGTACTAGGCTAATCTAGTAAATCTAGATACGTGGTTTATCATCCAGTCCTGCTTCTCCCTGCTACCACATCTTTTTTTCTTCAGAATACAGTCAGCATCCCTGGCTGCTTAAACCTGGCATTCCTCAGATTTCCTTGTGTTAGGGAGCAGGGAACTTTCCCAGTAGGAATGAAGTATTCTCAGGGCTGTGCTTTCTGCAGTATGAAAGGGTGCTTGCTGTCTCCCCTTGCCTTTCTTTAGGACCTTTATTGGCTTGGAGGTCTCTGCTGGGCATTTCCAGCTGCTGGAGCTGGTCTCAGAGGTGGATGGCGTTCTGGAGGAATTTGACCTTCCCACATTCTACAAGGTGAGGCGTTTCCTGCTTGCTCCCCTGCCAGTCTGGACATGTCAGCTGGTTCCCTGTGAGATGTTCACTCAAATAAACAGGAGCCAGTTGCAGTGGCTGCCCTGCTGTGCATGGAAACAGAATTGTCCTAGGATAGAATGGGCACTGTGGGACTGAGGACAACCCTTGTGTCTTTGCCTTGGGGCAGCTTTCTTGGGCATTACTCCAGCCTTTTTGCTCAGTACTAGCTTTGGGAACAGGTTTGGGATTTTGAAGGGCCAGACCCCAGTTTGTCTCTAGAGCCAAGCAGGGAGCTCATGTGGGTTATTCAGAATTGACCCATGTACCTGCTCTGGGATGAGTTCTGAGACATTCTTCCAGGACAGTGGGGAGAAGTTGAGCACAGAGCTGCAGAGTTGAGCACAGGGAGGCTGGGAACCAGGCTGCCTTGCCCACTGGTGTCCAGAGGGGCTGGGATGGGAAGCCAGGACTCCTCTTGCCTCCAGCACTGTCCATATGCAGCTGTTGAGTTGGCAGAAGGGACTCCCAGCTTTGGGATCCTCCAGCCTCTGTGATCCCAGGCAGGGCAGCAGCATCATGCCAGATCTTGCACTGACCAAAGCCTCCTTTAGCCCTCACATCCTTATCCCTGTTTTGCCCTCAGGACCCGTCGTTCCACATCAGCTTGGCCTGGTGCGTCGGGGACCTGTCTGGCAGGCTGGAAGGGCAGTGTCTGCGGGAGCTCCAGGTGTGTCCCCACACACACGGGCTGGTGTGGAGAGCAGGGGGAGGGCAGAGCTGCAGTCCAGCCACATCTCCCTGCCAGGGGTGGAGAGTGGGACAGTCTCTTCACCGAGCAGCACAAACTTCTGTGGGCTGAAGATGAGAAGCTTTTGGAGGGAACGCGAGTTAAATCGCCCTCCTGAGGGAAGTCAGAGGCTGCCAGCTGCAAATGGCTTCGTCTGTGACTTGCTTCAGAGAGGGAGCTGCCAACTCCATCCTCTGGCAGATCCACTCTCCTGGTACTGACTCCTGCCTCTGTTTTCCAGGACATTGTGGATGGGTTTGAGGAGTCAGCGTTCCTGCTGCGTATCCAATGGGAGCAAATCCGCTGCAAGTCGGGGAACAAGTACTTCTCCTTCCCCCTGAGGTAGGGGCGGGTGGGGCTGTGCCTTCTGGAGCCTGGAAGAGCCTGACAGTGGAGCAAGGACCGTTGTCTGGCACAGCTCTGCGTGGCGTGGGCTGTCACGCACCTCTGCGCTCTTCTTGCCTGCTCAGTGTCTCTGCGGTGCTTGTGGCCTCAATCAGGCCACTTCCAGTTCGAGCTGCTGGCTGAAGAAAAGTGTGCTTGTAGCAGATTTCATCCTCGCTGCTGGATGTGCTGCAGTCAGCACTGGCGGTTCCAGAGATCCCACGGTCGCTAATTTCGCTGATTTTTTTAAAAAAAGAAAAAAAATCTTCAAAAGCCATAGATGCCTTATGGGAAGGAGGAAGAAGGTAGCGTGGGAAGCTGCTACTAAAGGGAGAGTGTCTCACACAGTGGGAAGTAGCACTGCCAGATTGTTGGGAGGCTCTGGGCATGTTTTGAGTAGCAAGAGGGAAGGACATGGAGCTGGATCCTCTTCCCTGAGTGTTTTCCTACTGTAAGCCAGCTCAGACAAGCTCCTGAGTCATGTTGTGTCCCTCTCACGCTGCTGCTGCCTCTGTAGAGACATTTGAGTGTCTGATCCTTTTGCCAAAGGACAAGAGCTTGCTGCCAGGTGTGGGTGAGCCCTGGAATGGACAGTGTCAGTGTTTGCCTGAGCTGGGAGGGCAGTGCCCACAGGTGAGTCAAGGGGTGGCGGCTCCTGCCCAGGCTCTACACCTTTTCCCTGTGTGATCAGCAGCCCAGGTGGATGATGATCCAGGGGATTGCAGGCTGGACACTGTCCCTTGGGAGAAACTCCTTTTTAATCCTTTTGTCCCTGTGGCTGGTTAGCTGCAACTTCTCAGGTAGTTGGAACAGGATGCTGATGTGATGCCCTGAATCTTTTATTCCATGTCTCTCCAGGACTTCTGAGCAGTAAAAATCTGTTTCCTTGTGTCATAAAACTGTGTCTGTGGTGTATTTCAGCTGTTTCCTTTTAGACATGCAGGCTTCACGTGTTGTGAGTGCTCTGTAAGCTCCTGTGAGCTCCGTGCTGCCTGTCCTGGCATAGAGGGGAGCTTTGTCTGTGGGAGCATCTCCACACAGTCGGGATTTGTGTCCCTGGGAGCATGGCAGCCAGTTGCTGCTGCCAGCAGCCTTTTGAAGTCCTTAACAAAAAAAATCTGTTAAGTCTTTAGCCAGTTAGTTTCCGTGATGGGGACCTGCGAGATAAGTTTCTTTTGGGGGAAAGAAAAACAAACAAAGAGATATATTTAGCCCCTGGGGACTTGAGCGAAACCGGTTTCTCCGAGGTTAATGCTCAACCACCGGCCCCAGCCGGGCCTGGCACTGCACTCGGTTGTGTAACACCGGGTGTCAGAGACCCCGGGACAGGGCACGGTGGCGGTGGGGGCAAAGGCGGGGATGCGGGGGCTGCCGGCGGGGCCGGGTGCGGGGACATCGGGGCGGGGAGCGGAGCGGCTGGCGCCCATGTGCCGCGCGCCGCCGTCCTGACCTCACGCACAAAAGGCGGGCCGGGAGGCGACGGGCCGCGCCTGGCAGCGCCTCCCATGCACCGCGCGCAGCCCCCCGCGGCGGCTCGGCCCCGGGCCATGAGGGCCCGCGGGTGGCGGGGTGTGGGGAGGAAGCGCTTTGTGCCCGGCGGGGGAGGGGGTGAAAGGGCTTTTGATAAAGGGTCTGCTCCACCACCCTGCCGGGGGAGCGGGTGTGGGGGTAGAGGAATGTGATGGATTTAATGTTTTTAGCAAAATGTTAAGGCATTCTTGGGAAAAAAAAAAAAGAAAAAGCGATAGGAAAAGTGCTGGGATAGGAAAAGGATTGAAAAAAAAAAAAAAAAAAGTGATAGGAAAAGAGCTGGGATAGGAAAAGGATGGGAGAACCTGGAGAAAAAGACTTGGAAAAGGAAAAAGACTTGGAAGAGCAATAAGACTTGGAAAAGGAAAAATAATTGGAAGGAATTTAGAAAAAAAAGCTTTAAAGATTAAAAGGAAAACCCCCCTAATTTGGAAAATATAAATGAAGACGAAGGGAGGGGGGGAAAGTTACAAAAGAGTAATAATAAAGATAAAAATAAAATGCAATTAAAGCAGACAAGAGGAGGCGGAGGCTGGGGCAGGAAGGAAGAGCCCTGGCGCGCCCCAGCACCCTCCTGCCCCCTGCCCTGGGGCTGCAGCCCCGCAGGACAGAAGCCCCTTTGTGGGTGCGGGCCGGGGTGGGGGTCCCAGGCTTCCCATCCCTGAGCAGCTCCCAGGGGACGCCTCCGGAGGAGGAGGACAGGGCCAGGCAGCCCGCAGGCAGCCTGGCCCCCTGCCAGCTGCCTGCTCCCTGGAGCCAGGCCATCCGGCAGCAGCCCCCAGCTCCCCCACCTTGCAGGGCAGGCACCCTGTGCCCCGCTGCCTGCTCGGGGTGGCATTTGCCACTGGCAGCTGGCACCGACCACCCCTGTGCCGGGACAGCGGGGTGCAGTCGGGCAGGGGAGGGATGCAGAGGGTGTCGGGGAGCCGTGTGTCCTGCCGTGCCGGGCTGACGCGGCTCTCGCGGCCAGGCATGGCTGCGGCTCTACGGGTACCTGCCGCAGCCCAGCCGCCGGATGTCCACCATGCGCTCGGCTCAGACCTTCTCCGCCGCGCTCGCGGAGATGCAGAAGTTCTATGGCATCACCGTCACCGGCGTCCTGGACGAGGAGACCAAGGCGTGAGTTTCTCCATTGTTCCCTTGCTCTGCTCTGCTCTCGGGTTCTGTGGTTTTCTCTGACAGCCCTAGGGCTCTGCTGGCACCTGGAAAAGTGGGTGCTGTCCCCCTTGGGGGCTGCACCTCTGCAGCCAGGATAGCGTCCCTGCTGTCTGTGGGTGCTGTAACCCCTCGGGGACATTGGCTGTGCTGGGCTGAGCCCTGGCCTGGTGTCCTCCTGGCAGGTGGATGAAACGTCCCCGCTGTGGGGTCCCGGATCAGTTTGGAGCACGGATGAAGTCCAACATGCGTCGGAAGCGGTACGCGCTGACAGGGCGGCGCTGGAGCCAGAGCCACCTCACCTTCAGGTACCCAGCACTGCCAGGGATTCCCTCCCCCCAGCCCATGGAGAGCCATGGATCCCTTCAGGGAACGAGTGCTGTTCCAGGCCTTCCCTAGTGAATTCTGTATCCCCAGCATCCAAAACTACACGGAGAAGCTGGGTCGGTACCACTCCCACGAGGCTGTCCGACGAGCTTTCCGGGTGTGGGAGCAAGCCACGCCGCTGGTTTTCCGGGAGGTGGCCTACGAGGACATCCGGCAGAAGAGGAAGAAGGAGGCTGACATCATGGTGCTCTTTGCCTCTGGATTCCATGGAGACAGCTCTCCCTTTGATGGCCTTGGGGGATTTTTGGCTCATGCCTATTTTCCTGGCCCCGGCATGGGGGGGGACACGCATTTCGACTTGGATGAGCCCTGGACGCTGGAGAATGCGGATGTGTCTGGTGAGCTGGGGGCCAAGGAGGTGGCAAAGGTGACCAGAGGTGGCCGCCTGGGCTGGAGAAGGGGTGGAGGGGAGTTGTGCTGGTGTGGGCAGGAGTGGCAGGGAGAGCAGGTCCACCACGGGTGATGCAGGCTGACCCCACTGGAGCACCCCTGTTGCAGGGTGCTGGGTCCAGGGATTTGCCTCATGTGTCATGTTCTCCACCCCCTCTTTCTTATGCTGCCTCTCCATGCAGGGAACAACCTTTTTCTGGTGGCCGTGCATGAGCTGGGGCACTCGCTGGGCTTGGAGCATTCCAGCAACCCCAGTGCTATCATGGCACCCTTCTACCAGTGGATGGACACGGAGAACTTCCAGCTGCCTGAGGATGACCTCAAGGGCATCCAGCAGCTCTACGGTGAGGGGCTGCTTGTGGGATCATCCCAGAGGTGGGATTCTGGGTACATGTGTGGGGAAACTGAGGTACAGGTGCTGCTGGTCTGCATCACCACATGCCTTCTCTCACCTGGCTGATCCAGGTACCGCAGATGGGCACCCTCAGCCCACCAAGCCTTTGCCCACCGTGACACCCCGGAGACCTGGCAGGCCAGACCAGAGACCCCCTAAACCTCCCCCTCCGGGGAAACCAGAGCGACCACCGAAACCTGGCAGCCCCGACCGACCTGACCAGTATGGCCCTGACATCTGCGATGGGGACTTCGACACGGTGGCGGTGCTGCGCGGGGAGATGTTTGTCTTCAAGGTAGCTGCCCTGACCCTCCTGCCCCTTCCCTGGGGATGTAGTGGGTCTGATTGTGTCCCTGTGTCCTCCCCATCCTCTGCCAACACGCTGTTTCTTTCCAGGGCCGGTGGTTCTGGAGGGTCCGGCACAACCGGGTGCTGGACAACTACCCCATGCCCATCGGCCACTTCTGGCGGGGCCTCCCTGGGGACATTGATGCTGCCTATGAGAGGCATGACGGGAAGTTTGTCTTCTTTAAAGGTGAGCAGGGAAGCTGGATGGCAGGGCTGAGGTGGAAGCGAGACCCCAGTGTGCCCCACAAAGCTGTTGAGAGCTGGTTGGCTTCATCTCATCCTGACCCAGCTCCCCAGCCACAGCTGCTGTGTGATCCCTAGGGGTCGGGGTGGCCACAGGCATCTACCCCTATCCCTATCCATTTGTGCACCTGCCACAGCAGCTGGGCAGGATCTTCTCATTCCCCTTCTCCAACTCTTTCCCCTCTAGGTGACCGGTACTGGCTCTTCAGAGAAGCCAACCTGGAGCCCGGGTACCCACAGCCCCTGGTCACCTATGGGCAGGGCATCCCCTACGACAGCATTGACACGGCCGTCTGGTGGGAACCCACAGGACACACCTTCTTCTTCCGTGGGGACAGGTGAGTGTCTGTGGGGTTCTCCCTGCTCTGCTGCCTCCTGGCCCCTGTCAGGGGGAGAATGTTGGGCAGTGGGGACCCCTGTGCTCGTCACTTATTCCCCACCTCCCTCCCCAGATACTGGCGCTTTAACGAGGACACGCGCTCGGTGGACCCTGGGTACCCAAAGCCCATCTCTGTCTGGGTGGGCATCCCTCCCTCGCCCAAGGGAGCCTTCCTCAGCCCAGATGCATGTAAGTAGAGGAGGAGAGGGGTGGGTGGTGGTGGTGGTGGGGGTCTTGGAGATGAGATTATCCCTCTGATAGCCTGGCCACATGGGATGGACCTGGGGAGAGTGTGTAGGAGTCAGCAGTGAATCCCTTTCTGAAGGGTTTCACCAGTCATGGAGCAAAACCTGCAGTCTCTGCAGGGCTGCCCAGGTTCTGCAGTGTCCTGTGCCCACCCACTTACCCCTTGTGTCCATCTTCTCTCCCCCAGCCTCCACCTACTTCTACAGAGGCACAAAGTACTGGAAATTCGACAATGAGCGTCTCAAGACAGAGCCAGGCTATCCCAAATCCATCCTACGGGACTTCATGGGCTGTCACACGGAGCTGGTCCCAGACCCCAATCCCCGCTGGCCCGATGTGGACCGACCCCCCTTCAACCCTGATGGAGATGGGGGGACTGAAGGTGAGGAGGAGGAGGAGGAAGATGAGGATTACAACGAGGGAGATGGCCAGCCAGGCAGGGACGTGGACGTGGTGGTGCAGATCGATGAGTACACACGCACCATGAGCGTGGTCATGGTGCTGGTGCTGCTGGTGCTGCTGCTCTGCATCCTGGGCCTCATCTACGTCATCGTCCAGATGCAGAGGAAGGGGGCACCCCGAATGCTCTTGTACTGCAAGCGCTCCTTGCAGGAGTGGGTCTGACCTTGGCTCCCTCCCCCAACCGCCCCCACCACCATGGTGCTAAGATGGACCTGACACCCCCTCCCCCTGACCCTCACCACGGCCTCGGCCCCCCTACCCCATTGTTGCTTGATGGCTCCAGCCTCAGAAAAGGGGGGATGCCCAACCCCCCCAGCCCCTCCAGAGCAGCCGGGCTGGGACCGGGGATGGTTGTGGGGGGGCTGGAGGGCATCCAGGCCCTGCCTGCTCCCCAGTGCCTGTGCGTCCCCCTAGCCGTGACCCAGGCTGCCACCCGTCATGTGCCTGCATCCGCCATGGGTCCCTGCAGGGTCCCTTCCTCCTGTGTGAGCCTGCTGCAGCTCGGGTGGCGAGTGGGCTGGGGGCTGCTCAGCAGTGCTGCGGGCTGGCAGGTCTCAGCCTCTGGCACCTGCAGTGGTGGGGAAGGGAGGGCTGAGCTCATGGCTGTGTTTCCTGTTGAACCACGGGGATACAGGGATGTGGTGCCTAAAGACAGCGTGAGTTGGGAGATGCCACCTCTGCAACCCTGCTGGGGCTCAGCTCAGTGCGGGCCCTGCTGCTGCCGCTGTGGGATGAAGCCCTGGGGCACGTGGCCCTGTGGGCAGGGCAGTGGGCACAGCCACCTTGTATGTCCATTAAACGGGTCGGGTGTGTGGAGAGCTGTGGTGCCATTGTCCTTCCTGCTGCGGGGGTGCCCTGGGATGGACTGGGCAAATTTTGTGGTAACGGGGCTTGTCTGGGGGGTCACCCTGCATGGCACCCCCGGGGGACTGGGTGCCACGCTGAGGGATGCAGGGAAGGGGCCAGCATGGCCAGTGATGTCCCTGCAGCAGTCCCTGCCCTGGGGCTGCCACTTTAGGGGGGTCAGTAAAGCAGCCCCCCCACCCCCACCAGTGGACAGAGCAGCCTTTCAGCAGCTCCCGTGGCAGTGACAAGGGAACACAGGCTGCCTTGTTCTCCCGCAGCCAGCACTGCTCTTCTGCCCTGGGCAGCCACCTCCCTTCCCTGTGCAGGGGCCGGCAGCAGCTGGGGACCCTCCTGGAGCCACTTCACAGGGTGCTTCAGCTCCCTGTCCCCACGCAGCCCTGCTGAGTTTCCTGGGGGGAAGGGGTGGCCATATCCTGTCTCACCACTGCTGTCTCGGCAGAGGAAGGCAAGAGGAGTCACGACTGCTGCAGAGATCAGAGAAATAATCATGGGAGTGGGAAAGATTAGACTTCAGGGGTAGGAAGCTGGCTTTATCTGGGGAAAAATAGGAAGAAAAACCAAACCACAGAGGCTGGTGATCTGATGATCATAGGAGTGGCAGCTAGAGCCAGGTTTGTTCTGCAGGTGCAGCCTTGGGGTGGGCAGCAGAGGCCTAGCACCATTGCTGCACTGGTGGGGAGGCTGGTTGGGCTGTGCTGAGCAAGGGTGTTATGTGAACCTGGCCTATCCCTGTGGGGATGACCCTGTGGAATTGGGGAGCATCCCCATGTGGGAATTGACTCCAGTCAGCATCTTTGCTTCCTCCAGCCTCCTCTGCAGCAGGACCAGGGCCAGCACCTGTGCCCTGCCTCTTTGTCCTGGGCACTTGTCTTGGTGCACCCCTGAGCTGCTCCCCTTGCCCTGGTGCTCCAGCTGCTCCTTTGTCCTCATCCCCTCCTGCCAGGGTGGATGGGAGGGTTCCCCCACTTCATGGATGAGGATATGAAGACTTTGTGCTTCCCCCATCCTTCCCCCTCCCCAGGGCCAGAGCTGCTGGCTCAGTTCCCGACTGCTAGAACCACTTCCCAGCACTGAATTACCCTGAGCTGCCCAGCCACTCGTCAGCCACTAATTACTGTAAAAGGGAAGGACTGATGCTGGCTCTCTCAGCCTGGTTTTCTGGTGCTGGGGGGATCCCTGTGGCCTGAGTCACGCACCCCCTGCCCCAGCCTCCATCCCTACCCACACTGGGCAGCGATTTCTAGCCATGAGCTGATTCCCTGGAAAACACGTTTGGCTCAGACTCAGCACATCACTGCAGCCAAGTGAGAAGTCAAAATCAGGAACAGAAAACCCCTGAGGAATTGGGGGGAGTGGGTGGAAAAAGATCTCCAAGTGGCTCAGGGCTGTTGTATTCCATCAGCCAGGCCTTGCTGGGTCACATTCCTTGGCTTTGAACTTCTTTCAGTTCGGTTTTGACCATTTTGCCCAGATTTGTGCTCGTGTGGGTCTTCCCCAGAGCTGAGGGAGGACCCACAGCTCTGCTGAACTGGGAGCCCTGCCCTGGGGCAGCCTGACACTCCAGCCTGTGCTGAACCAGGGCCAGACAGGCACCAGGAGCTGCCAAAAGCCATGAACCTGGCCAAAAGGCGAGGCAGGAGGAAAGCACGGCTGGGATTCACTCTCCCCACCCCTGCAGAGACTGCTCCAGAGGCCAGCGCAGATGCATTTCCCACGGCAGATGCATTTCCCACACTGGATGCACTTCCCACAGCAGATGCATTTCCGACAACAGATGTATTTCCCACGGCAGCAGTGTTTCCCTTCTCTCCTGGGGGTACAGAGGGCTCGACGGGGTGCAGGGCTGGGACCCCAAAGCCTGGTACCTGGAAAGATGCCTGGCTTGCAGGGAAAGGCAGAGCTGGACAAGGGTGCCCAGGGCCAGCTGCTTAAGGTATCCCTTCCATGGCAGGGGAAGGGCCTCCTTGCTGATTCAGGGTGGGACAGGAGCTGGGAACAATTCCCCAGCGGGAATTAGGGATGCTGGGAGCAGAGGCCCAGGCCACCACGCTTGGTGAGCTGGGACACCACTTCCCACCCCCTCCCGCTTTTCCCCGGATGCTGCAGCAGAGCTGGTGCCAGGAGCCCAGGGCCATCTGGAAATGCTCATGGACAGCGTAAGGGACCCGCTGGAGACAAAGCCCAGCGTGTCAGCGGCGCCCAGGCTCTGCCAGAGGCCCCTGCACTGTCCTGCACCCCCACAGTGGGGTCAGCTCACCTCTGGCCAGCTGTGGGTGTGAGACCCCGGGAGGGCAGCAGGCACCTGCTATACGGGACAGGGCTGGTGGGAGCATGGGGGAGTGTGAGCCCGGCTGAGCCTGGCCCCAGCAGGCACCAGCCTGCCCCGCCAGGATCCGCTCCTGCCTGGCAGCTCCCTGCTTCCCAAAAATAGGTTGGAGAGCCTGACCTGGGAAAGACCCTGGGAGCTCAGTGCCCTCCAGGCCCTGCTGTGCTGGGGTGGGCGTGAGGGGGAGAGCAGGGCTGGCAGGGGCTCTCTGTCCATCTGGCACCATCTCAGGAGAATCCTCCTCTGCGAGCCAGGGCACCATCCCCTGTTCAGTGCTGAGGAAAGGACCCGGAAAACACAGAGGAAGCCGGGCTCAGTGCAGAGGAAGAACTGGGGCTGGGATACAGCAAGCAGCTCAAGGTCGGAGGAAACAATGCTGGGGATGGAGGGAAGGGCCGCGGGGCCCTGGGAGGGGTTGAACCTGCTGCCTGTGCTGCAGGCAGGGCAGAGGCTCCAGGTGCTGCCCAGGAGGGGTCGGTGCCAGCACAGCCCTGCTGGGGGTGGGATGCACCCACCAACCACACTGAGCTTGGCTCATGTGTGTGGCTCATTCACGCCCCTCTGCTCCCCTCACACACAACTTGGCACCCATCATCCTCTCACCTCTAGCAGCTCTGAGGCTTTCCCCACTGCATCCCAGGTTAGCTCTCAGGGTGCACAAGTGCTCCCTTACCCAAATAAATCATGTTTGGGTGGCCCATTTTGCAGCCTGTCAGTGGAAGCTCTCACCCCTCTCCTGCAAGTGCTGGCAGGGCAGGAACATCAGCTCTCTCTGCATGCACAGTGGCCAAAGTCCCCAGTACCGTCACTCGGTTTTCCTGGGCGGTGGCCAGTGGTAAAACTCAAAATAAATATTTCCCTTGCCTCCAGCACTGCCTGCCCCACATTAGACAACAGCTGCAAAGGATTAACGTCGCCCTGGAGGTGTAATCCCTCTATAAAGATGACAACATTTGGCCCAAGACATCCAGGGAGATGCAGAATAGACAAGAAGCAGAGTTTGGCCCAGATTTTTTGATTCCTGCTTATCCCTCTGTGATAACAGCTCTGTGCTTCTTTGTCAGGACCCACTTGATAGGAAAGTGACAAAGTGCAAGGTGACAAACACAGGCAGGGACAGAAGCCTGTACCAATGTCCTGCCAGACAGTGTCTGCTGGGCTGGACACACACAGGATTCTTCTGCCCCAGAAGCAGAGCAAATGGAGAAAGCTTTCCAGGAAAACCCCCTGCCAGCAGCTGCCACCTGCCCAGACAGAGCCACTGGAGCCTTGGGATGTCCCAGCCGTGGCTCTCACCACAGTGACTGCCAGCTGCTCCAGCCCAAGCCTGCTGCTGCTGGCCCAGCCCAGGGCAGGTCCCTCGCTCCGAGGAGCTGCAGCCTGTGCACTCACCGTATTTCAGCACCCAAGCTTTCCAAAGGAAGCTTTGCCTTTCAAGCAAAGCTCCCAGCACTGAGGTCCTGATTGAAGTGCCCAAGTGCACAACCTTGCCCCAGCCAGTGGAAAACAAAGGTGAAAAACTTGTGCAGAGAAGGAAAACTGATCTTTGGGTGGGCCCTGCTCTGCCCCGGGTTGAAACCAGGGCTCCCCACAAAGATTCTTTTCTCTCCCACTAAACATGAACTGCAACAAGGACTTATGCAGGAAGGAAGGAGCAGGCCACCCACAGAAAGGTGAACCAGGAGATAATTGAGATCTTTTCTCCACAGGCTGCCTGCACTGAACTGGGACTCCCCTCTGCCCACCCCTCATACCCAGCTGGGGCTGCCCCAGGAGCAGGCAGGCAATAACCATCCATGACTCCCACCTCTGCCCCATTCCTTCCTGCATTCCTTCTCTTCCCATGTAGGAGGACGTTGCATCCCAGCCACATCAAAAGCCATAACCAAAGGAGTAAGAAGCTGGGTGCTCCACCACAGGAGTTTTTCTTGTGCACACTTAGGAAAGGGCTGCTGACAGGATGCCTCTG